AGTTGGGAAACTACGATTCTACCTTGTCGAAGAGAGGCTGCATGACGAAATAAGCTTATCGCATTGAAGACAAATTTATCTAGTACCGAAGCCTATCTTCTCTTATTGTCTTTGTGGATATGTTCCCTAATTGTTTGAAGTTTCTGTATGCACTGTTGTTACCGGTTCGTTTGTATTCCTCCAAGTGGTGCGTTTTGCGGCTTAGCAATCAAGGGCTGCGATTTCTCAACAATATAGGTTAGTTGTAGATCTTTGGGACCATTTGCGGAACAGACCTATTTGTGACAAATAAGATAATATGCAGTAAGAAACCCCAATGAGTGTCCTCGTCAGGTTGAGGGTCGTCTGCACAATCCACCTCGTATAGATTGTCCTTTTAGGTTGACATATCCAACCTCCTTTAATTCCAACGTCTGTTGTGTGTAAGATGTTTTAGCTCAGTCCGTCAGATAAAATTGAGGGCTTTGACGGCACGATCGCTTTGACTCAGGTGCGCCAATGGTGAGAGGTTGTCAACTAGTAAGTCTTTCTTAGCAAACACTCAGTCTAGGCGTGATGTTGTCTGACATTTTTTCTAACGGGTTGCTGACTTTACATTTTCGAATAAATAAAGGTTTTCAGTTAAGATGAAGAACCGAGATTCATCTCAAATGTATGTATGTTCAGAGAAATGAACTTTATGAAGACTGAAGTCTCCTAGAATCAGGATACGAGTGTATCTGAGACGATTGAAGCGGAGTAATCTTTTCAGGATACAATTGTCAAACTTGGTGTTCGCAGTAAGCTTCTTTTAGATGACTCCAAATAGACGTCTCGGGGTGTTAGACAGTCTTGTTGATCAGCATACAGACTCATCAGGGTTCACAAAACTTTGAGTGTACACTCGATATGCAACTTGGCAAAATCGCAGGTACAAGACTGGAAATAGTAATGATCCCTCCACTAAACAGCCCATAAGCATCTAGGTTTCATACGGTCACTAAATTGGTAGCAATGATTATTGTGGAAAAAATGGTTATCCTTAACTTAAAAAGAAAACAGCCCCTGATCACTACCTGTCACCAGACAATTGCAGAGATATTTCCTAATCCTACGACCTCAATATCACGACCTGACAGCTGACTAGTTTGGTATGACCGTTTGTTAGAAAATCGGTTTGTTTTAAGCAAGGAAACGGAACCTCATGGTTGTGGTTGATTCCTCTAGGAATGGTATCATCATACTTTTCAGACTCTAAGAATTTTGACGTATGCTTTCCTGCCTAAGAAATTTTGACCGAATTTTCCAATAGTTTACTGACGATGTATTCAGAGGTCTTCACTTTTTGCGTGCATGATCATCTGATCACAAGTCAAAAAGGAACTCATTCCTAACACACGGGCCTTGATTTTCAACGACTTCATAGGCTGAGCAGCCATGAACGTTGAGACACTACAAATCGTAGACGAACCACTCAATTTTCTCGGTCATGAGATTGATAATCGTGGTACTCGCGCTCCACCGAGTAAAGTGGAAGCTTCTCTGGATTAAACAGACATGACCACGACCAGGCAACTACATACATCCAACAGACTGGCAAGCTTTTGTCGACGGTTCTTATCGAACTTCATATTATTAATGATATCACTAAAAAATTGACTTCGTGAACATACAAAAACCATCAAACTGTATGGCGATGTTAAGGAAGCATCTTCTACAATGAAAGACAATATTCTCATTTCCTCTGAGCTTGCATACCGAGACATTAAAGCATTGACTATTATCGCCATTGATGCATCCAAGTTGACAATTGAAGTCTTACGAAATTAGATAAAAGAAACGTCGAAACCCTTTGCATTCCTCTCGTAACAGTCATTAGACTCTGCGTTGAGACATGGTACTTATGACTAGAAGCTTAATGTCATATTCTATGCTGTACAGCACATTCAGAACTCCATGTTAGGCCAAGCAATTACTCTGTTCATGAGTCATATATCGCTTACTTGTCTTCAGACAGATACTCTTCTTTAGAGACCCGACTACTGAACTACATCTGACGGTTTACTTCTGATATCAAGCATACTTCTGAAGCAAACAAAACAGTCGTATTCGCCTAGTTTTACAAGTTCCTTGAGCAGTTTCTAAGAGACCGATCTGCCCAACCTCTGAAAGACAACGCCGATCCTTAGCACAAGTTATCATCGACAAAGCAGAAACCACGAATGGAACCGATGTGGAAAGCTGACGGGACCGTGTCTTGCAGTATGTTTAATGTCATAATTGACACAACCAGTCTGAAACAATATCAAAGCTGGTCCTTCAATACATCATGCACCCAAGCATTCGAGAAACCATCAAGCTCGTAGCGAAACAATTTAATTAGTCCTAGATAAATAGTGAAATGAGTGAGTCACATCTTATGGTCACCACTACTTCACATAGGAGGGAGAGAGCCGTGGCGATGAATAGGTCCTAAGATTAATAGTCTTCAAGATTAATACTGATATAATGAGTTCTACTTAACGAACCTAAAGCTGAAATATCTAGACAAAGCACCACATCAAATTAGGATTAGATACACCGTACTACACATTCCTTGCAACAAATTGTTCGCTTACATCACATAATTCTTGTGACATTGTTTCCCAAATATATGGGTTTTAGCGTAAGAAATAAGCTGAAAGTCGCTTCAAAGTGCATTCTGAACAGTGTTGTTATTCATTTCTACTTCCACCCTGTCTTGTATTTCAGTTGTTACTCATATCTCATGCGACCATGTTTTATGTCATTCAGTCTTCTTCCTCTGGACCTTTATTGAATGATATGCATAAATTTTCGCTTTTGTCTGCTGCCGGGCGATGAGCGATAATGTCGTGTTTGACTAAACTCAATGTTACGGCGTGGGTCCTCTGCTGAGTGTTTACAGTTAACTGTCTGATGGAAATTATTACTTGAAAGTTTACAGATAAACATTTGATCCCATCTTGTGATATGCTTATAGCTAAATGAGAGGCTTTCGACTAACGGTGAAATCGTCCTATCAAACGGTTAATCTACAGGTTGAAGGCTTTCAGCTGGTGGCTTGTCCAGTAAAAAGAGTGAGGTCTACAGCAATGCCGGAGAATTTCGAATTTATTCGTTTTAAGGTTTTGTTTGTCAGTGCGGCACTCACTAGGGACGTCGTCCGAAAAGTCGCATTTATAAAGTTATTAAACTATTTATTTTTGAAGTGGAGTAAATTAGGAATGATGGTTAGGGAAAGGGTTGTTGACTTCGTCCCGTAGAGGATGATCTGGCTAAAACAACATTAACCAGAAGTAGGCGTTTTAACTTTTGAACTCTCCTCTAGTAGTCAAACTGTCTTCATTTAAAAGATTTACGATGCAACGCTTTGAGCTCTAGATTCCTCGAGAATTATGAGGCCGATGCCAACTCTGACGGCAAGATCGACAATAAATGTAGATAAATAGAATGTTCGCATAATGTGGGGGAAAGGTAGGACTAAGCAAGTAGCTAGAGTTATGAAAATATGCAATCTGGTTGCGCACGAGAAATTTAAGACCGATAGAATGCAAGCTGGACAGAAAGCATTAGTTTAGGAAATACTGCTGTAGTGTTCTGTTCATGAGGAACAAAACACCTCAAAAACATAAGTTGTTGTACTGATGCTGCTAAAAGAGGCGTGTAAATCACTTATATAATGGAAGTCGTCACTACATTTCAACTTTCTTGAAGGCATTTGACAACATGGATAACAGAAACTCATAGAACCTTCTTCGACACTACGGTGTGGCTGAGAAGATCGTCGATGTCATACGCAATTGATGCGACAGACTACATTAGAAATTCCTGTGTGGAGGGCACCTGACAGATGCATTCCAAGTGAGGACTGGTATCAAACAAGGTCGTTCGATCCCTACTCTTATCTCCTGGAAGCTGACCGGGTTATGAAGAGTTTCGCATTTGAGGGAAATCATGGACCACAATGAACAGTTTGGATGCAACCAGACCTCAACATATACAAGGAGAAAAGCACGATCCTCAAATACAACACGGAGAACATCACTCTAGGTGCACTTGATGGAGAAGCTCTGGAAGATGTGGAATGTTCCACGTACCTGAGAAGCATCATCGATGAGGAAGTAGGATCTGATGTTGATGTGAAGGCAAGGATTGGCAAAACAAGGGCAGTATTCCTACAGTTGAAAAACATATTAAACTCAAAATAACACTAAAGTTGGAATTTTCAATTTGAACATTGAGACATTCTTATTGTACGGATCTGAAAGGCGGAGAACTTTTGCAACCAATATCAAACGTTTACAAACATTTACTAACAGTTTTCTATGCCATATACTCAGCGACAATCCACTGCCGTAGAAACCAAACCACTCTGCAGCTAGAGAGGAAATTAAGAAAAGAGACTGGAGGTGGATATGACATACCGTGGAAATCATCGGGTTGAACCATAAGGCAAGCCTCAACTTAAAAGTCACAGAAACAAGGTAAAAGAGGCAGACCCAAAACACGTTGCATCAGGAATCAGAGGCAAGAACTGTGAGAATGAATGGCAACTGGCGGCAATCAGAAAGGAATGCCAAAGACAGAGTTTGATTGAGACAACTGGTCTGTCACCTGTGGCACAAGAAGTATAACAAACGAAAGTAGGGGATAAAGCTACAATCTTTCCTTCATCTAGTATTGATCTTCTACTACGGCTAAAATATTAATCTAAACGAACAAATAGGTCTTTAATCTGACGTCCTTTTTACTTGGTTAGCAATCATTCAAATTCAGCACTAGAACGCCTTATGTTAATCAATCATGATAATAGCTTCAAAGAGATATTGAATTTATTCAGTATTCCCAGTTGTAAGGTGTAATACAATCTGCATGGACTACATACTGAAAAATGAAGGCCTTTCCTCCAAATAACCTTTAAGGCGCTGGAACCAAAATGTGTATTTTAGGTGATGGGTTAATGTGTGGGCTATGGGAACCAGTTTAATCTACGAGATAAGATGGATCAAGATATATCATATTCAACCACCGTTGAACTTTCGATAGCCTGCAGGTGGGTAGGAAATCATGGGAACTTACGGACATTTTAGAAATTTGTGCGACACTGGTGTTTTGTCGAAATCCGACCCACGTGTGTTTTTTTCACTCAGATTTAATATTAATTTTAGTTGTTGTTGTGTTTGAAAAGTCATTCCCTGATAATCAATGGGTTGAACTAGATAGGACGGAAATCATACATAACCATTTAAATCCTGATTTCGCTAAGAAGATTGTCATGGAATATCATTTTGAGGAGCAACAACGTTTAAATTTTGTTGTGTTAGTTACTGGGTCACTGTTTTATTAAGATTTTAGGTATGATGTCGATTGGAAGTCAGATAAGTTGGAAAAACATGTAAGCACTTTCACACTCGTTTACTATTATAGGAATTTCTTGGCAATTGTGAGACAACTCTTGGTGAAATTGCGTCTTCTGGAAAGATAAGTAAACTCTTAAAGTAAGCTTCTGTTTTGCCTCCGTCATTTGTTAAGAAATGGTCCTTCGAGTAATTGTGGGTCAATTATTAGTAAGTAGCTCTTTAATTCTGATCAAAGTCATTTTTAGTTTCCGCAGAGGAAGTTTCTTCTTGTAAAGTAAGCTACTCTTTTCATCTTACTGGCTTTTGGAGGATGAATTGACACTTGACATTTCTGGGAGGATGCTAGATAAAAAAGACATATTTGGATCATCTGATCCTTTCCTCGCATTTTACAGGGTAAATGAAGACAGAAGGTAAGTGATAAATAAAGAACATGACAAACTTAACTCACTAGTTTCATTGAGCGAATCGTCCGAATATGCCTTTTCTAAGGAACTACTGAATTTTAAATGGGTTCATTTATTCAGTGGTAACATTTATATAACACTGAAGTCTGGGCTTGTGTTTGTAAACGTTTAAGGCTATTTGTTAGAGGGAGTCATTATTTTGAGACGGGTTCTAGTAACTCCGAAACGTCTTGGGAGTTTCAGGTGCTCCATTGCAGAGCACCATTTACTACCACTCGTACTTTTGGTGATTTTTATTATCAACCGTTTTATGATATAACACTGGGTTGAATAGTGATTTTCTTAACTTTCAGTTTGTTCAGTGATCACTTTATCGGAAGTCTTAGAAGGTACATAACCATAACTTGAAACGTCCTCAGACAATTTGGGCCTGAACTAAGTATTGGTCTAGCTGTAGTTTTGTTAAGAGTTCTATACGCAATAGACTTGTCTTTTTTTTCTTCAAAATGGCTGCATTACTAATGAGCATTCATATTTAAACATCTTTTATTTACCATTCTTGCATTTATTGTCATGAATCACCTTTTTAAATTGACTCGCAACTACGTGCTCAGCATTTAGGGGTAGACCAGTGATGCGTCCTGACTACTTCACTTGTTGTAGTTGTCCGTCATAGAATGTTTTGTCCTTCCACACTTTAATTTGAAAGTTCGTAGTCATCTAAGCTGCTGATTTCACCGTCTTGTTACCTGAGTTGGTTTCACATTTTACTTCGGTTTTTCTAGAGGTCTTGTCATGGTGCATCTCAGTTCGGTCTCATAATTTTATGTATCAGGTTGTGCTCCTGGGTTTTTATGTCTGTTTTGTTGGAGATCACTGATTCTCAAATGTTGGTAATTCGTAGTAATTTAAGGCGGATAAGTGACTGTAGATATCATTATTTATTGTATTTGCTGCATTGTACCGTCTACATGCTTATGCTATGTGATGGGAATCTAATTATTTTTTTATTGGTTCTTGACTAATCGTATTGCGTTTAAAATGATTTTTTTTTTCTACCAAAAAGTCGAACAGTCGTTTATAGAACAAAAGTGATAAGAAACACATTGAATCCAAACTGGGAGCAGATGATTATACCATTAAGGCTTTTATGTAATGGAGATCATTACAGGTACGTTTTTTCTATTTGTTTTGTATTTGTTTACACTACAGATAGTAGCTTTATGTCTCTTTCCATCTGATTCTGCAAACTTACGAAGATTATGTCTTTCTGTACCCTCTTCACTGGTACAGTTTAACATTTTGAACTACAATAGTTTGAATGGTAGATGTAAATCTAGCATTGGTCGCTGCTGAGCAAAATCTAGAAGTGATACACATTTCCAACCATCAATTACCCTGACACTTAGTGCTGACCGGTATAGAAATGTGTTGGGGGAGAATCCACGAATTCCTAGTCCAAACCATGTTGGCAGGTGTGAATCACTCAGTTGGAGAGTAATCAATACTCGTACTCAGTAATCAGAAACATCGAGTGTAAGACTATGTTAGAAATGTCGCAGTATAAAATTCTAACTATGGCTTCGATAAAGCAGCGCACATGAATGAATGCAGGTACACCCAGCTGACGAGTCCCAAATAAGACGAAACGTGCGTCCTGGATTCTACTGCTAGCCATCATCCATCTTTGTTTATCAATGAAAAAGGTTTAAATAAACTCACTGTGAGATTCTTTAGTTGTATAGCTTTCATACAATGCCCTGGTCAGACCAAGGGTGAGGAGAGTCAGCTACCCCTCTCGAAATGCTCTCACATGACCACACGTATACAACCACTGCCAGATGAGTCCTACTCACTGCCCTAACGCGGCGGGGTGTTGTTTACGAAATCGATAGGACGAAAACCGAATGTCCGACACTTTTACCGGGTCGGTAGACACGGAGGATCCACCTAGAGGAGTTGGGAGACCCTGATTCCAAACCACTGGTACACATGGACTTCATTTCATGTCCTTGAATACATATAAAGAGAGATCCGTTACCGAATGCAACTAGACATGGAATTTTTCGAAGACAATTTTAAAATTTATGTACACATATTTACCCAATACTTGGGTTTGAGCCACACCTAGTATGAGGGCTACTAATCGATCCACCTAAGCACCGCTTTAGTTGTGACTAGACATAATTTCATTGATGAGGCAAACGGTTTGTTTTATAAAATGAATTCATCCGGAAAGATAAACCTGCAACAGTCCTTCAACGAAGTTATGCAATATTAATCTACTCTTTAATTTTTGCTTTGTCAGTTGTCTTGTATAATGATACAGTCGAATGTTTAAAATAAGGCTATTTGTATACAACATGATATAAATGTTAGGTAGTGGGATTCTGTTTGTAAGCAATCCTATGGTAACACTGAAGAATGACGAACTAACCAATAATTGTAAATACTTTAGATGGTATGCTTAATTATACACCTGTTTTTGTAAGTTTGGTTTCTTCGTTATCTCGGATGGAGAACTCATTTCTTAGACTATCACTGCCATCTTTATTCTCGTTTCACCCAACAAATACAATAGATCATATATACAACGTAATGAAACTATCGGAAAAGCTTGCCCTCTTATTCTAATGTTGAACTGTTTCAAAAATACTCATCTATTATGTGTTCAAATGTTATATAAACATTCAAATGAATCTAGACTACTTCAAATTGTACATAATTTTGCTTTCGACATATGCAAATAATGCTTTGATTTATCTTCTTCTGACCAACGTTTACTTGGCGTTTACTTATTGTTTTTGTCACTTTTTAGACCCCTGGTCATTGCTTGCATTGACTGGAACAGGAGTGGAAGGTAAGCGAACCTATTTACTAACCATATATTAAGCTTCATGTAAATAACACTTTGATAGGACTGGGAATTATGTGTGGTCACGCGTAATGAGCATAGCGTAGCTATAAGATATAGATGTTTTGCTTATCATAGTTCCCACCCTCGATATGTTAAAAAATGGTTTTATATGCCTTGTATACTCAGTACATTAATGTAATAATTTATGGCTCTTATTGCTATTTTATTTCTTTAGTCTTGGTTTATTTTACGAGTCTAATTTAATGAAAATAATATTAATTCATTTTAGAGAAAGTTTGATTGGCGAAATTACTACATCTGCTAATGAATTGTTAACTATGTTTAATAATGGGATATATTCACTTGATGTAAGTAATAATCTAGTTGACGGAAATATATTTTTATCAATTTACGTTTGCTACTATGAGATGGATGATAGCAGGAATTTTTATGTTTTGTTTTTAGAGTTTGAATTTTCGTTACAATCTGGGTAATCAGACAACAAGAAGGTATTCATTTGTTCTTACTAGTTGTCAAGATGCTAATCTCAAATAAATTAGATCTAAATTTTCTTCGAATGTTGGAAATTAAGTGACTAGCGAAATCCTATAAATCTTTTTTGAATCTTGAAGTTGGCAATTTTCACTTGACAGTTATGTTTTTACCAGCCGAAGAGTACATTTCAACTAAGTGATGGACTCGAACAATCCCGGAAATCTCATATCAGTTTGATTCTCATGGCTCTAACACAAGTTAGTTGCGATAAAAAACACCAGAAACAAGACTGGAAAATAAAATAGAGGATGGATAACATCGTCATCTAAATGACTAGGATTTATGAGACTAAACACTGAAATTACAGAGTTTCCTAGTTATTTCATTTGGAACAACCCTTACGGAGGAAGAAGTGGAATCTTAGATGCAGGTCCTAATAACCAGATTTGCCAACTTCATGGACAGAATTACCTGTTGTCGAATCGACATGAAGTTGCGAAAGTTTATGACGCCAATTTTAAGCGATGCATGAGGCTTCAGATATCAAATTCAATCCCAGCTTGCAAAAGTCAGCCATTCTTTTAAATAGACAACCGATCCAGTTTCGGAATCAGATGTTTATTTCTCCCTCACCTTTTTTGAGACACCCACCATATGAAGACAGTGAGCAAGGGATACGTTTTGAAGGCTTTATTCATTCTTTATTCGTCATATGAGTTTAGTTCAAACTGAAGCTTACAAAATATCCAAAGCCGCTTTGCTGTCATTACACGAAAGAATTGTGATTATAAAATCCCCTGCATGGCTAGCTTTCCACTAAGTCACTACATTTCTTAAACTTAGATCCGTTTACTATTTTCGAAACAGGAAAAACGGAAAAAACCTACAGTCATACTTTGTATTTTAGTACATAACCGATGTATTTTACGAGATATGTTATTAAATCTTCAGGCCATAACTGCTGAAATTTTAGTTACATGTAAGCAGTACCTGTTGATGCACTAAGTGGTCGGGTTTGGTTTTAGTTACATAGTCGTTGAATTCGGTTTTATCGTTTAAATCAAAGAATAATAATTATATCTACCTAAGTCGGTATATTATATTTAAGGATATTCTGTTATGTAAAGTTTAATAAGAATAAAACGAATCGAGGCTTTTTGTTATGACCTAAATGAATGATATTAATAACTGTAGGTCTTTTAAACAAATCATCAACGCTTACTGTACATATGGTAATCTGAACTCTAGATATGCCTCTCCTTTATTTGAGACAAGACTGAGTATTCATTTTCTAATCTTAAACGCTGGTTCATCCAAAACATGTCATTTTTACCCAGATGCTCACTAGGATTATTGGTCAGTAAAATTAAGGTAGATTTACGCTTCTAGGAAGCAGTAGTAATCTCTATTGGATTCTTCAACCTGGCCTTGTCCACTTTTGTTATTCTTAGTTCAAACCGTGTAAATCTTCCATTTAGTTACTGTATTTCTAAGCAGTCACCCATCCTCAAAAAATATATATAATAAGCCATTTGGTACCTCAGTTTTACTAAATTACTTAGCATTGTTGAGAGAAGAAATCCTAAGGCTTGTAAACTTCGAATAAGGATGTGAGTTATGTAGAAATTATTTGTATGTTGGTAGAGAGTTCATACATTTCGAAATAATTCCCAATTGTTTTAGTTACACATTAAAGGTTAATTATTCTTAATTCCTGAGCAAATTAATGAGTCAGGTCTCATACATCTAATTCCTGTTAAAAGCCTTTATTTTTTGTTATAGAATAAGCACAACTAAATCATATTGTTGAAACATGGATTTGTTTCAAATATACATTTGTTGGTTTAGTTCTTTCCTACCATTAATAATTTCAAATCGTAATTAGCTATTTACTAGGCTGTGAAATTACGTTAATTACCTCTTTCAATATTTAAAGGCAAGTTATAGTAAGAAGAAAAGGCCCACATACAGATACTGTATTAAGCCATATCGAAGCATCTATTAATTAAATATAAAGAGATAAATGATCCATCTATTCTTCCAAATTAAAAAGTCAAATAATGGTAAATTAAAATTTGATTAAAGTGCTTCAATAAAATTACAATCTCTTCTTTTGTATGTGTTTAGATGATAAGTTAGTAAATCGCTTGTGATCGTTGTATTCAGAAGTAGACTTATTCTCAATTGTTTTAATCATCTTGATCTGTTTTCTACCCATATTAAATATTTTTTATTTATTATTATACCATGGGGGTTTTTGTCAGTTAAACTCGTAACATATTCCTTTAAATTTGCTTCATATTTTTTCATTAGCTTATTAATCCCCACAAAGCTAAAAGGCATAAACATTACCAGAATTCTGGAACTGTGAGTTTTGTATACTTTTATTTGTTTAGTGTACAAAATCCTGAAATGTTATATTGTTAATTGTAGTTCTTGATAAACACTGTAAACCTAGTATTCTAATTGATGATCTGAACAACTGGTTTCTTATTCACTTGACCAAACACAGTAGATTACGCGTTTTCAAATATTCCAAACTTTTCAATCCTAACGAGGTGTAAAAAAAATGAAAATTACAATCCTAGCTTTTTTCACAGGGTTCGATAATGTTGAACTAGTGGCTAATTTATTAGAACATTTTACTCACGAACGAGTTCTGATCTATATTCGATATTGGTACCCGATTAATATCACTAGCCTTCATTTATAAATGTGTGACTCACAGTTGAATGCAATTGTTTGCGCTTTGTTATCGAGTTAAAGTAAGTTATTAACTGTCACTATCACTAAAAACTCATTTTAATAACAGGGGAAAGTATCGGTGGCATGTTTCACACCTATGCTTCGGTTTGGGCACCCGGGCAGTATCACAGCCCTCACACATATCGAATGAGATTTGTGTGGCGCATATGTATTTGGCGCCTCATTGTACCAATATCTATGTGTTAAAAATAAATAAATAAATACGCTTGTGTCAACCAAATTAAATTTACTAGTTTTTGTGAGCCCATCAAAGTTATTAGTAATTATCATTCTAGATAGTTGATTTTTATTTTCCTGACGTATTGCTAAAAAAATTTCAATATGACAAATGCTACTACTGTTAATTTTAAAAATATAAGAACGTTGCAGAATAGCTGTCTGTTTACTGACATTATTAAGAGATTTTAGCCCTCACCATCTTCAAGACTAACCGTTTTTCTGTACAATCCAAATGATGTTAAAATTTTTCCATAGAGCCGTAAAAGAAGGCCGATGTTTTACCCGAAATCTATGGGTTAACAATCTCTTTTATGTAAACGTTCTATTAAAGATTTTCGAGTCATTTTGAATTTATTTATAGGTTTCATTCCACTTAGAAATATTCAAACTAATCCACAATCTTGATCAAAACTGTGCTTAAAACTTTAGTAACTTTGGTTTGATTCTTTACCTGTCTCTAGATTATTAAACTCTTGTTCTCAGTATATTGTTTGAAAATAAGCAACACCTTTTAATGAGAAAAAACATAATCTACAAAGTACCACTAGTTTAATTCGTTGAACAATCAGAGTGCACTTACATACGATAAAAACAATGTCTTATCGATCAGTGTCTTAAAGACAGATGTCAACTAATCGTGGTTAGAAATAGCAGTGTAGTAGGCGAATTCTGATGTTATTAAGTAACCTATATTATCTGATACCTAAACTTAGCCATGGAGAGTCAGTTTAGCGTAATAAAACGTTATCTCTATTGTTCATGCTACTGAAAGTTAATCATTTGGTAGTGATATTTACTTCAATAAATTTTACGGAAGTAGAAACATAAAAAAATGAGCCATAGAAATTCTCTGCTGATCAGCTTTTGACAAAACGTCCTAAAGAAAATCAACACTTGGCATTTTTACATCACTCGTAAAGTGGAGAGCTGCAACCATTGGTTAGAATAGATGTAGAGATAAATGCGCTTGGAGACTGGTAAATGCACTGATATTTGTTCCGTTTCTTACGAGCAAATCAACAGTTCATATCAGACAGCTAGTGTTACTAAACATTTTGAATTCAGAAAGTATTAAATGTATATCCGAGAAGTTATTATAATTTAATTGTTTTGAAATCATATTTTAAGGCACCACATTTATAAATATTATAACTGGTTTCTGTACCATTACAGCCGCGACTACATAGTAGATATTTATTGTCATGTTTGATTACTATTTTCACTAAAGTTACCATTTGTTAATATAACTTTTTCTACTTTACTGATACTAGAAGACAATGGAAGCGTTCATTTTGATTGGAATTGTCTCCACTAATTTCAGTTTACATCAGTAGTGTATTTATTTTTATCTTATGAACGTAGGATATATTTAAATGCAACATCATTAAAATCCATGAATTCTATTCAGTAATTACTCTTCTTTATATTCTATAATTTTGTTCTTCTGCATACTCTGAAATTATTTGAAACATTATACTACTCTTGTTTATATAATTCATGTCTAAAGAGTTCTCATTAGTGATTTGATTATCTTTACAACTTAATATTTATTTTTCTCTATTGTTTTTCGACAGCTGCATTTGAATTTGGTCAGGATCGAAAAAGTATACAGCTTTCTGGAATATGTCCAAGGAGGGTATGGGTTATGAGTGTTCATTTCTTCCGAAATTAATTATTTTATAATGATAAATATTTATAAAAATCTCGACAATTATACTTAAAATAGATTCAACGTTTCGCTCAGCAGTCTGTTCCGAACTTTTTCTAAGAAATATAATACAAAAATAAAATAAAATTACTTCCTTAATGTCTGACACTAACTTGGCGCACAACTACTGTGAAACTCTGTTCAAATTTACACGAATGTTCATATAATTAATTATTTCCGACTGTTAAATTCTGTATGTAATATCAAGTTTAGTTATTGGTCAGTGGTGAAGCTGGTTAGAACATCCGTCTTTTAATGCACCTTTATAATAAGATTTCTGTCGTTTTAAAGAATAGAGGTCCGCTAACATCTTATATTCATTTAAACAATTGTTGTGTATTTTTCATACGTCTCAACAAAGATTTACATCAGTTATTTCTTCAATCGAGAAAATTACGTTTACAATTTCACAAAGGAACTATTCATCCCTCTTCTTTTTACCTTAGAAGGGTTTACTTCATTTAATGATCAGATTTTTTCTATCTTGCGAAAATTATTGTAGATGAAAATATACCAAGGTATGACAAAAGTATTAAAATACAAATGAAAAAATATATATAGAGAGAGAGAAAGAGGGAGGGAGGAATATTTAAGCTTCTGAATGGAGAAAAAAATGCTAAAATTATAGGGTCGTATTATCATGCCTACACAGTTCAAGGTTTATCCTAAAGGTCACAGAGTGTAATAAATTTATGGGTTTTGGATTTTATGGTAGTTATTACAATAAAATCAATAAGTTGTGGAAAAATGGTATGCAAAATTTGATTTGTAGGGTTCTAAAACCTATAAAATATTTCGCTAGTAAATAATTCATGTATATTTCTAGACTTAATTCTTCCGTGATCAAAGAACTGAATACTTGCTCCTTCCAATTTCAACTTGCCTAATTCTTAGCACTCTGACATTCTGTTATCTAATTTCTAGTTTACCATCAGCATTTAGTTTAATTGCATAACTTTATAATTATTTATATTGCATTCTGTGTTAATTTATCAATTAAATTAATCAAAAGCTGTTATGGGGATTAATGTACCGAATAAAGTTTTCGATTTTTTAAAAATTTAGTACTGAACTAAGCTGCTGTATTGCAATAGATTTTACAGCAAGTAATGGTAGTCCACAAGTTCCCGGTACATTACATTACAGCACAGTTACTCAACCATCACAGTACGCGGTCGCTTTACAAGCTGTAGGAGAAATAATCAGTGATTACGATAGGTAAGTAATGTATATTCGAAGTTGTAGCTGCCTGTAAGTGGAAACATTGGCCTCTTTGTTGACTTATCTGGCTCAAAGAACCTAACTACATAGAACTACAACTTGTCATCATGTATGCGTTTTAAACTACTATCTTTTCCTTTAACTAAATTTTTTAGACTAATTTTCCCTTAATGTCTATTTGGTTGTTTCAGTTAGTTGCCATTTTTTGTTTATGTTCTTGACACGCTATTGATCCAGTTAGATATGTATGTGAAATCAATGTCAATTTCTCGATTAAGAGGGTAGAGAATGTAGATGACAACAATAAGCAAAGTTATAATTGTTGAAAACATTTCGAGTTTTGCATCGTTGTAATTAATTTAAATAGTGCTACCAAAGGAAAAGCTTGTTGTACATAGCTTTCCTATCATTACAGGTTTTTAGAAATTCTAATTATGATTTTTAAAACTTTTATCAAAACACAAGGGTAACTTCATTTCACCAATGTTATCAGTGACATAAAGACCACTTACCAACTCGTTGCCAGTAGATGTTCTGTAGATAAACATTCTGTTACAACTAGAAGTAAATAAAATATTGCAATTTCCCTTCCTAATATCTTTTTAACGAATTCAAGAGTCGCTTGTAGGTTCCTACTATATCCTCATATGATCTGATAAGTATTAATGGTACTGATTAAAGATAATAATTTGAAGTAATTTTCGCATTCAACTGTTAACAGAGATAATGTACCTTTTGTTCTACATTCCAGCAATCAACCCCTCACTTAGTTAATTTTCAGTGGACTATTAGTAAACACAACCAACTTCTACTAAATCACGTTAAAGATTTGGAACCCCTTACATAACCTAAACATTCAAGATTGGTTTTCTGATCGCTTGAATTAAAATGTTTTCTTTATGATCGATTGTTGCTAGATAAATTTAAAAAAGTTATGAAAAAGATCTGTTGATAATTGATCTAAACTATGTAAATCACTGTAAGCCCTCCAAATGTAGTCTAAAAGATAATGGTTGTAGAAGAATTATCTGTCGATATACTCAATCGTATTGCTTTAGCCTCCTCTGTCTTTATGACTACTGTTCCTCTTTTTCTCACTGGCGGGTTGATAGAATACTATTACAGTTATTCTTGAGTTATCTTTCTCTATCATTTTGTAGCTCTTCCGTTCTTTGTAAAATATTTATCAGCTATTAATGCTACGAAAGTGATGAATTCGAATTTTTCTGAATAGCTTTCCTTACAAATTGATGCATCGTTTAAGCAAAGATTGATTGTCTAGTTGAAAAACGGTACTTTTGCAAATTAGTAATAACAATAGATTTATTTAATTAGATGAGCGAACTACTAAATTAGTTTATTTTATGACAATCTGTACTTTATTTTTTTCAGTGATAATCTATTTCCTTCATTTGGATTCGGTGCTTGTATTCCACCTGATAATAATGTGTCACATTGCTTTCCCCTGGTTAGTTGATTTTTTTTCCCTCGAAAGGATATTGATTTGATTTGATAATTATTTAGTAGTTTTTTTTGTTTATCCATTTTCACTATGACGGGACCACATATATGTTGCAACACTGAAGGGATATCCAGTGTGAACATTCATGTAGTTTGTGTTAACGACTTTATTGTCTAATTGTTATTTATTCCATATTGTCATCACCAATGTATTAAATTATAGGCATGGGAATATTTATCTGCTACCAGTTCCGGAGGTATTTTCTACTGATTGCTTAAATTTCTGATATTTTTCGTCATTACGCATTCATACTTATGTGCATTTAGCTTATATAAAAGAAAACTTTGTTATTTTACAAGATTGCTTCTTTCACATATTCAAGGTAAAATCACGAGTTTATAGTTTTTAATTTTAACACGTTACATTGGAAAATTCTCTCTCATTCTATCCATTGGAATTATAAAAGTAATAGTAATATCATATATATGTACTTATTCACCGTAAAGTTAACTTTTTTCTTGTTTAATAGGAGAATAAATTATGTACACAATTTTCTTATATTTATTGTCTTAAATAAATAATCTATCGCTATGTGTTCTATTCAACTTAAATTAGATTTTATTTGACCGTGCAAATTGATATTCACTTAATAACGAATTCATAGTATTTAATTCATTTCAGTGAACGGTTTAGTGTGAACATAGTGGGAATCTAATTTAACAGCTACTTATATATTATTATAAAATACATCTTTTATGTATTTATTTGGCAAATTGAATTTAAAAGTTTAGTTTGAAAAATGTTATCAGTAATAATGAAATTATTAGTAACAACTAACTTAAAAGCTATACAATCGTACCACTTCAGTAGAAACACCTAACAGAGTTTAAAATGATTCATAAATAAATGTTCACTTGAAGGATCTTCTTCAGTTATACCGTGGGTGTAAATTTTGGTGAATGGTTTAATGTACAGTGTAGGCTGATATAGAGCTAGATTATAACAAAAACTAGGAGAATTGAAATCTAGAGATTGTGTTGATCGATAAAGCTATGGAATTGTAATTTAAACTAGGTCTGCAGGTGCAGAATTTCTATCCTAAATCGATGGGAATTGACTACTGCCGAAATTTAATCAATTTGTCAGCATAGAATACTGTTATCCAAGTACCACGAGAATCAATCACCTTTATTTACTTGTATACCACTGTATTGAATGATTATAGAAACCGGTTATTTCGGACGCTATATGTTAGATATAGTTACAAAAGAAAGGAATTCAAATATGACTTTGACTGTGTACTGATCAATATAAATTAACGTAAATTTTGAGTGATGTTAATTATGAACAGAGCAAGAACAGAAATTTGAGCAGAATAACGTAAGTTCATTTGATTTCGCTGGATTACCGTCAGCTGCTTACAACCTATAGTACTTAAAAATCATAATTACAAAATGGTTCGAAATTACCTTGATTAATCAATTTAGTTCGAAGTTGTTGCTCATAAAAACTTGGGTTGTATGTATGATTTTTAAATATTACAGGTTGTCAACAACTGATGTGAACGTGACGAATTAATGTGAATTCATATTATTCTGCTCTCCTCAATATGATAAAGAAAATCGCGTGCATAACTTTAATTAATCAAAATCTCAGTTGTTGACTCAAAGTTCCTAAGTTATATCAGTAAAGAAGTAATTTAACCAACAAATAAAATATACGTGTAGTTTAAAAAAGTTGATAATAAAACAAAAGAATATGAAGAAAAACTATTTAAGATGACTAATTAATCGTAAGATAGAGGTCTTTTCAAGTTATTAAGTAGCTGATAAATTTAAAACCTGATTAACAAGGTTGTTTTTGTTATGTATGTCAGGTGACAAGACGAACATATTACAAAGTTGTTCATCAATTTGAAAATCAGTGTACATAACAGTTTTTCAACAAATCATATCACTAGAAATAGTATAATGTCTTGGAAATCTCATATAACTTAGACTAGTTAAGAAAGCTACTTAATTGTGGACAAGAAGGGAAAAATCCTACTTTATGTACATAAAATTTAAAAACTGGGAAGAACTATTTTAATTATCACAATCGATTCCCATTAATTAAGCATCAAAATTTCGCAACGAATGATTTCTGAATACACGACTAATGAGTTGTATAAAATTTCGTCGATCACTTTATATTCCCTTAACTGAGGTCAAATAAATTCTCCATATTATATGACCTGACTCAGCTAACACTAAAAACTTAACACTTAGTTAACTTATCTAAATAGAGAAGAAGGTACACAATGTGAGCTGAGATACTTGTTTCTGATTGATAATTCTCCCTACTTATTAACCTTGTGTATTTTTAAGTTCATGAGGTCGTCAAAGTTGTGTTAGCGTAATCATTAGTATTTACGTCTGTAAATCTATCCTGTATGCTTCATTGTATTGAATTTGCATATAGTATTGATCCGTTGCTTAGTTTTGGCTACTACTTTTTGAAGTATCTGATATGGCACTTAGATTCATTTTTAGATCATTAATGCATTAACTGTCATTTTAGCGTACATATATTTGCGTTTTCTGAATGAAGAGTAATAAGTTGTTCTTGTTCCTTTGTATTTCAATAAATAATTACATATACATAGTAAATAATAAATCTGCTAAAATTAACTGATTAAAATGTCTATAAATTTCTAATTTCTTTCAATGTTTTTTTTTAAAAAGTACAATCTAGTTTAGGTTATTATGTCCATTTTCCCTTACTGTAGTTTCCGTTCTGTTTTGCATTATTTATGTATATAACATGCTTTTAATTTCTGTGTACTTTTTTATAGTCTGGAGTACAAACGATACAAATTTAAATTAATGCATAGATATCAATATTATTTCATTCTATAGGTTCATAGGGATGGTATTGTATTAACCCTCAAATATTATGGTTTGAATTCATGCATCACGTAGATTTCCAGTGAATCTCAAATGTTAAACTCTAATATTTTTCATCATAAAGCTCAGGCATATTTGCTTGTTTATTTATATATTTGAAATTCTATCTTTTATTCTGTTTACGTAAACATATATAATACATGCTTATTACTTATTTATTGTTTTTTTTTTTCATTTGTTACTAAACTGAAAAGTAATAGTCAAGTCTGTTTATGAACTCCCGCTTAATGACTATCATTACTACAGTTGTTCTTAATGCTAATGTTACTAACTTTTATCGATAAACGTTGTAAAAAGTTTCATCTTGTCGTTTTTTTTTCTTTTTTTTTCAACATTTCATTATTTTGTCTTGCTTCAAATATTTCTAATTTTCTCTTCCCTATTGTATCTGTATATTTACGTAGATAGATAGACAGATAAGTAAATTAATTAATGAAAAAATTTTTGGCTTCTATTAAGCTCTGCCTCATATCTCATTCCTTCCTATCTCATATCCAATTCTTACTGTTGTTCTTAACAAGCAATTTCCATTGTGAATGATAGCGCGATTTCTGTCATGTGATCTGAAGTTTATTTAAATTATTTTTGTTGCCTATTCATTGTCTACGGTTTTTGACCTTAAAATCATGATGCTTTTTAAAATATTTTTTTCTAAATATATACACAAATATATTGTTGGTTTGTGAAAAATCAAAAGCGAGTTTTTCTACAAAAACAAGAATTTCTGTGGTTGTGAAAATTTGAGTGTCAAATTTCTCCCCTTATGTAAACAAAAATAGGACTGTTAACTGTTCGATTAAGGCTTTAAGTAATGGTAACAGATTATCCATTTATCCCATAAGTTCTCGACTTCCTCGTACATCTGTTTTACCTTAATATAAAATGAAAACTTAGTGGTTTTTATTAATCTTGAAATTTAACATACCTAGTGTTCAGTTTTAAAAACCTTATTACTAATGCAAAATAGGCTAAATTTTAGTCAGTAATTCACAAAGTAATCCGAGAATCGTTGAACAGCTTGAGTGAATATTATTTTAGATTTTATCCTCCTGAATGAACATACTAAATGATGATATTTTCTAAACCTGACCTTATATTTGATTATTAAAGGATACAATACTATACTAAACTGAAAATATGTTTCATCAAATTCTATCATCTAGAATACTTCAGGTTATATAAGTATTTACTTCTAGTTGAACTTTACAATATCATGTTACATCACGTGGTTCATTGTTTTCTTTTGTCAGAAATCTCCTATCCACTTCTGATAAACTTTTGATGCTTTTTAGTTATCATCTTTTCCTACTTCCATTGTCCTTTTCAACTAATCAATGATTTTTAACATATCATTTAAATTTTACGGGCTATTAATGGATATAAACAAAGTTCTATTTGTCATTTTGTGTCGTCCAATGTTTTTCATTAAATTTTTATCTTGGATAGCTATTTTTTCATCAAAAGATAAATATAATCATTTATTAACAAATTTTAATGAGTTTCTGTCATCCATACTGGTTTACTTGATATTTTATTTTTATAGAATTTTTGAGAGTTTGATTGGTCAAAATGTTTGGTCACTGATCGATTACTAGTTACTTTTCCTAATATTGTTTTCGTGTATCCCCAAACAGGTAAACAAAATAACGGCTATATGATTATAGGGTTAATTCACTAAAGCTTTCTGAAGATATTGTGAAGTTTTGACTGGTAGGAATGTCGTTTCCTAACCACATATTTTCTGTGTTCTAGAGTAGTAATAGAAATTAAAATTCTCTGCAATCAAAAAACATAATCGTAAATGATAAAAATAATAAACTATTTTAACTGACTACTTAGTTTATCCTATCTTATATTATTTGATTTATATACTCGTTAAAAAAATAGTTGTACTTCCAAATATGATTTTCTGTTATTTCAGTATATTTTTTATGCGTGTTTTATGCGTGAAAATAACTTTTAAGCAATTTTAAGCTAATTCTCAAACTCTAATAACTATATATCAAGTAAATTAAAGTTATTAAGTTCATTTTCTCTCATTTAAGCCTCTATAGTATCACTAAATTTTTTTACTTCATTCCATCTTTTTTGTAGTTTTAGTCTATTATCTTTTTCGACCAATAATCTCTAACTCAGTTATCCTATATTATTAGTCTCGATCAGTCTGATCAGTCATAATCTCTGGCTTTTTGCGTAAGTACATTAATTGAGTAGAATCAACTATTTGTATATCACTTTATCAAATATGCAAATGATATTTGTAGATTATTACAGGTTTAATTTAATGAGAAAAAGAATAATCTAACTAATTCTAATAGCTTGTTAGCCAGAAAAACTATTCAAATACTGTAATGTTCCTCACGTTAATCTTGTTACAAAGTCTCTATTTGCATTCCATCATTAAGTACATTTTAAGTACCATTTTTTCTAGGATATAAATCGAGAAGTTATTAATAATATTCATTGCAACCAGTTTAAGTGTGTGTAGCTCTAACATTTTGATTATTTCCCCCCTTATAACTATTTTTACCAATGTGTTCAAGGCTACATGGCAGAAGTACGTTAGTTTATCAGTCCATTTAGTATTATCGTGGATTGGTTGAAGTTAGACATTAACACGGTTGGATACGGGCTTAATGGTCTAGAGCTTAAGCGTTTGTGCGCGAGACTGATGGACCTGGGTTCGAGTCCTGCGTGCGGGGTAGTGGATGAGTGCTTCTGAGGAGTCTCATGTTGGGAAGAAACGGCTGTGTAGTGCTTCCAGGTTTTCAATGGTGGTTTAACATTGATCAATTCATGAACCCAATAAAATTCGTCGGTATGCTAATTGTTTAGGAAAATTGATTATTATATTTTAACATACTTTTGTATGTATAAATGGATAAAAACGTGTTTTCCTGATTATTAACTAATGCATTGTACATGTGGATACCGATAAAACTTTCAGTGCATAGTTTTTTGTGTATGTATGTAAATTCGTTAAATGTTCTAAAACAATAAAACGTACCATCTTTTATTTTTACACGCTACTGCTAATTTTTCAATATTTACACCGTTATAACAATAATAATATAAAATATTTTCATGATTCTCCTTTATTGATTTTGAACAAATTATTATCTAACGTGTAGAATGGACATATGGATAATCCGTACTGTGAGGGTATTCAAGGTGCAATGGCTGCTTATGCCCATTCATTGAGAACAGTAAAGTTCCATGGACCAACAAATTTTGCTCCAATCATTAACACAGTAGCTAGGTAAGAAGTTTGTTTAGATTTTATTATCAACGAGAGTGAATAAATAAAGTTTTTACAAAATATTAAATTTCATTATCAATAAATAACTAGTTCATTATAGTTGATAATACTCATAATCAATTTAATCATTTTGTTATTATTTATCAAAAGCAATTACCGCTGAATTATAAAGCCCTTTAAAATCTCAATTCATGTAAAACTTAATAATATATTATGCCTTTTCTCAGTTCTTTCATTTTATCGTGTCTGTTGAAATCTTTAGATGTATAAATGTAGTTGATTAGTGAATAAGCACATGAAGTTTGATTGCCTCTGTTCGTATTCGGAATGAGTTGATATTTTTTTGGAAAAAATATTATATGAGCCGAATTTTATTTTACCTTACTAGTTACTTTGATACTGTATTCTATAATCTTACAGCTTCTTGGCGTCATTCTCACCATATCAGCCTGCTTAGATTTTGTAACCCTAGTCAGCTACTCTCTTATCAAGTGAATACTAATTGTTTTGCTTTTTTAAATGTCTTTTGTGGACTTTTTATATCATCTTTTTTCCTTTCACTTCCCTTCATTGAACTAAATGAAAGAGGAGTAAGAGTCGTCTGATATTATTGATAGATAAGGTTGAGAGATATAATTACTACAGTTAGTGCTTTTGACGAATTTGAACAATTCGACAAGTAAACGAAGTTCATCAGAACTATGTGACTAGTTAAGATATCAAAAAAACTCTTTTAGCAACTAAAGCCGCTGCACAGAACTATAAGGTACTTGGGTATGAGTTTTACTCTAGTTTTTAAGGGCTATGACACTATCCAGTTGCTCAAATCGAAGGAGATGGAACAGCGTTAACCTGGGACGTAGAGGTTGAAGGTGGAATGCCTTAACCATTAAGCTGCTGCTTCAAGGATTATGGAATCGGTAAGTGCGTACTCATATAACTAAAACTTACTAATTTCATGGGACTTTAACTATGCGGACAACGAAATTTACTAATCTAAACAAACAGAAGCATTCACTGTGAACTAACAACGTGATTTTCAGTGAATTTAAATACTGACAGTTTAGAGAAAAGAACTAATGAGCTAATTAAGCCTCAGAATGAAATATCCTATTAATTATTATAACCATAATGTAGCATTTCGTATTATCGACAAACAGAAAAAGAAGGCTTAAATTCATAGTTGTATGTCTCGAAATTATTTTCCCCTAGTGCCCGGAACGAACTTGTATTGAGCACGATAAGATCACATTACCATAATGAAAATCATGATAATTATGTTAGTGGTGAAGACTAAATGCTGTGAATGGAAATGCGTGTATGAAGGAATAGCACAACTAAGTATCTAGAAGATGATAAGAGAATCCATTTGCGCCACTATAGCCTAATCTTAATCCGTGTCACTCAACCTCTCCAACCACTAATCGTGGTTATCATGCAGAATCCATTCAGGTAGTCTGTACCTACCGCGCAGTCTAAATGTCAGTGATTTTATAGACTGATTGCGTGTGTTAGTTAGGATGTTCTCAGTCTCCTTGCGACCTGTTCCTTCACTAGCTTATATTCTAATTCGAGGTAGGCACTGTTTGGATTTATGCAATAGGTCCGAATTCTTATTCATCTATATTTAATCATCACGAATAAACGTTCTCAACAGAGTTTTTGAAGAACATAACTAACTTGGTAACTGATTCGTATTATTCTGTGATTCATCACAATCGCATTAAGATGAAACCATAATGAATAGAACTCAGTGCATTAATGTCTTGTATCAAACATGGAAACCTTAAACCACTGAGTTTTAACCCAAAGGTGGAAAGCCACAATTTATCATATGGCGCGATATTCATTTAGCGTCATCTGTGAGTTTAAGTCTGAATATTGATTTAACTATTTTAACACATCACCACTTCCAACTCTGAACTTATTAGAAGTTAAGTAAAAGCTTCGTCTGTCTACACAAATATAATGTATTTATGGGGATTGTGCTGCATAAAATAAAAGGTTATTTGTTATTCCAGTCTTACAATTATTCAGCGGAATCCCAAACTGGAACAATTATGAAGTTGGATCTTTCAAAGCTTATCTTAAAAGCGTCGAAAGCATCACTATCTCATCTATAAACTGTGAAAGGAGTGTCTACTGAAGTTAAATGCATTTGTGATTGTTTCTTGCTGGGGGAGGGGGAGGGCTGAAGTTAAGGTTATTACTACGCAATCGGAATCTCCATGTTGTATAACCGTTTTACGTAATGATTAAAAATCATATGTCTCATGAGATTTTCCATTTTGAATTATTAATTTATACATCTTTGTTGGTGGTCATCACTGAAATCAGAGTATGCCAAAATTTCTCTAACTTTTCAGCACTGATGATTTTACGCTGTATATCACAAAATACTTACAGTGAAAATATCACACATAATAAATTATTAATAAAAAAGCTGGCGTTTTCATAGTATGCTTTATGAGAAAAACATAAAATCACTAAATAAACCGAATGTTACTATTGTGTTTGATAACTGATTCCGCTGATAACATCGTACCTTATCGAAGTTGTATTTGCTTTTTTGTACGTTGTCATTTTAATTTAGGAAATCTTTTTTTTTAATTGCTTGTTTTCTTCAATAAAAGTATTGCTCGTCAGTCTGTCGATGGTTCTCAATACTCCATTTTACTGATTCTCACTGATGGGATCATATCAGATTTGCCTCAAACAAAGGCTGCTATAGTAAATGTAAGTGTATAAATTTTATTTCTGTTTAATTTCTCTTTTATTTGTAAGCATATTTCTTTTTTTGTCTTACACTAAATATAAATCGAACTGTATCATCACTTATTTTCATTGAATTTTATCATATAAATAAATTCAACATATCATATCATTATAATTTGATTTTGATCAATTTTCTATCTGCTTAAATAATAGTTGTTTCCGGACATTTAGATGTTTCACTTCAATTCATTATTATTAGGTTGATTGATGGATATGTAAGTAATCAACTGATTTATACTATAGATAATCTTTAAAGGAGGAACATGTTAATTTTTGCCATTCAGGATGACTAGTTTGCTAACAGTTGACTTAAACTTAATTAGTCTATTTCTTGATCTAGGTATTATTTTAAAGTGCATACATTTCGATGACAATGTTTTTCATATTAAAGACTTATCAAAACTTGATAATCGGTTATAATATTTTGTTTATTATTAACTGAATTTAGACTAATCATATTATATTTAGGGCTACAACCTTTTATTGACATACAACATGTTAAAATGCTTCTGATGATATACAAGTTATTTTGTACTGATTCTGTCAATTTTTAGCTTTATTCTACACTATTCTAGTGTTCATGTTCTCACGATAGATACAATATAAAAAAAACCTCATAGAAGTTATTCTGTAAAATTTTTTCTTTGTATTTCATAATGAAGAAGGAATAAGATTTGTTTTTTAGGCGGATACAAACCGAAACAGTTAAATGAATGTCATACACATAATTTCTTTTTTCGTCTTGAGAGAAACAGGAACAAAAAAATAAACAGAATAACGTGAAAATATTTTATTTCACCAGATTCCCATTAGCTTTTTACAATCTGTAACAATTAAAAATCAAAATTATAATGTAGGTTGAAAATACTGACATGGATGAATTTGATTAAAGTTTAGCTAAGTATATCTGGATTAAGTTATTGAACATGCTGTTTTATACAGGATTGATAGTTTGGTTGCAGATTAGGTTTCAGCTAATGAAGTGTCAAGCCTCTTATCCCCACAACATCGCCTCTGATGTTAAGATGGATAAGGGTGAGGTTTCTTATTAAATGTGGTTATATTTAACTTGTTATCTTTAGGATTTTTCTTGGTCATCAAACAATTTTTGTTGGTTGCAGTTGTCTCTTAGGCATTTTTTAACGTCCGTTGTTCCTTCCAGTTTGCCAATTGTTTCTTGTAAATGATTGAATAAAAACACAGAATCCGAGTATAACCCAGTAAAAGTATTTTTCCGAAAAACCGGACGTTAATATTTGCCGATTACTCTATGTATAACTATAGCAAAAGTTTTGGATTTGCCACTCTTTCTATGGCTTGAGGGGGCGATATTAACTTATCGTTTTAAGCAAAACCACACAAAGGGTTTGTAAAATACGAAAATCATACATACATTTCTTTAGTTGTCCTTCACATACTCCATCAGTCTTACAATCCTGTTGCTATTCCGATTGTCCTCTGTTTTTCCTTCTCCTCTCAATTTCCATTTTCTGTTGGTAAATATTCCACTTCCAATGAAATATGTCTTTCACTGTATTATTTCGAAAATGATATAATTTTTATGATTACACCATTCGGTTCACAAAACTTGACTCAGAAATGGTGTTATCGTGCACAAAACTTTTTCTTTAACTATTCAGTTTTCTGTTTTCTGTATACTTGGTTGTTTTATCTGCCGAGTTTTTCATTTCACGAATTAATTCAAATTTTATTATCATATATCGATACAAGAACAGAAAATAACAAGTATGAGGAGATAATAAACTTATCGCGATATAAGTTTAAGGTTAGCAAATAAATTAGTAAATATAATAACAGGATGTTCAAGATAAATAGTGAGAAGAACAAGGTTATTTTATTCAATCTTGTGGTAGAGTATCTATACTCTATAAGCAACTGATTTTTAACATCTTGAGAAACAATTAATCTTACTTGTACAGCTTAGTCAAACAGTCTATTACTATGTGGACGGTTTCTGGAAGCTTTTCTTGTCCTGATCATGCCTCTGTCATTTTTTCCACTTCTCATATTCAACAATACATCAAGATGTCTAAATCCAATAGAGGTATTATTTGCAAACTTCCAGCGTTTTAATGGAAATTCAGTGTTTTATCAGCTTTTAATTTATTTAACTTCTAAAATAAGTTGATTTTCATTCTAGAAATAGAGGAAGACAACTCAAGTATCTTCCTTATTTGTTACCTGTATCTGGTCTAAACTTAATTGCTTAGTGGAGCAATATTTCGAACATCATTTACATGTTGTGTACCTCATACAAGACCATTCGGTAATATTTTTATTAAAAATAGATCAGTCACTTATTACTTGAAGTTAGAAATGAAAAAAATTCGTCTTTAACTAAGAGATATAAAGGTAAAGTATTTTTTCAATGGCCTAAAATTCATGAGTTTGATCCCTGTCTGGGTCAAGGGTGCATACTGTTATGGAGTCCAAAACTAGGAAGAAACAACTGTCAAGTACTCCTCGTTTTCCAAAGATCGTCTGTAACGTAAACTCTGAAAACTGAACATTATCCACGAACATTCTTTCCATTATTCGTCAAATGGAATCATTGTTATGATGTTTCTTGTTTTCAGTCTCTTTAAAACTTTTGTTCCTGTTTGATAAGATGAGAATAGTTTATCTTTTGTCGAAGCAGGTGTACAATCACTTGTCATATTTCTTTCTGAGTTTTTTTTTTCATTTCTAATGTTTTGAGTGTCAAATTTAGAGTTGCGAAAAATTTCGGTTTCTGATCTCCCGTATTTCATTTCAATTCTTTTGGAAATAAACGTTCTGGCTTGGTCGAGATTTGTTTGTTTTGATAAGTGTACTTCACAATCATTTGTTTCTGCTTCATTCAGTGGGTTGGATATTTTGACTAATTTTTCTCTCAGTCTCTTTACTGTCGTCGATGCCATTTGCTTGATTTTTCGCTTTTAAAGTTAGTTATTATCATTATTTTTTGATCCCAGTTTTTATTCCGTACTAGTTCGGCTCAAAAGTTAAAAATATTGAGCACCAAAATAAACTTGGAAAACTTGCTGTATTGACTATTGGTAATTGAATTCATTTAATTAAAGTCATTTGAACAAGTTTGCAATGAAACTGGAAAATCGACTGAAATGAAATAGTGTCAATTAAGAAACCATCTCCGCGATTATAAGCCACTATGATTATTTTTGTGTTTTTAGATGAGTTATACAGAGGTTTGGTCAGACTTCATTTATACGAAAAATTGACCCTGATTATCTGCTAAACAAAACTTAACCATTTTAAGGAAAAATAACCAGCAAAATAAATCCGTAAGGTAAAAAATAAACATTCATCGAATACTTTTAAAGCATTGAAACAAACTAAATAGACAGTTTCATCCATTTTTCTATTTGTTTCACTTCACTTTCCTTGTAAGCCTTCTGCATATAAACAGAAACGAAAATAGGTACAAATGCGAGTTAAGACATAGTCCGTTTCATCGGTTGTATGATAGTACAAATAGTACATATAAATTGAATTTATTGATGATAAGTTTTCATTTCCTGTAATAGTAGAATTAATGGGGTGTTGAGTTTTTTTTTTTCATTTACTCCGAATGTCTACTTAGAATCTTCTTTTATATTAATAACATTGTGAAGTGTACCCAAATGTACCGAGTCACAGTCTTTCATTATAAATAAATATTTTTTTCCATTTGGTTTTACATCGATTACGTCTCATCAGTTGTGTTGTTTTTTTTTCTCTGAGGACTTACAAAAAATAGACATTAGGATTAGGAGTTTTGAATGTTCTACATGGTAGCTCGTTTTGTCTGAATAGGTAACAAATACTTACGAATAAATTAAAGTAATTTTCGAGTTTCGTTACGAAAGTTTGTAGTTAATTTCACCTTTTAATTTTCTTCACACATGTCATTTTATATTTCGATATAAATATAATTATAAGCAAAGATGGATAGTGGCTAGCAGTGGAATCCAGGACGCGCGTTTCGTCCCGTTTGGGACTCGTCAGCTGGATGTACCTGCATCTCAGAGTTGATGTTCACTCTGGGACTCGAACTCAGTACCGTTCGCTTCAAACGCCGCGTTATCCACCTAGCTACTGAGTCCTGATAGCCACTTGCTTGTGCAATGGGGTGAAGTTTAATTCACTCGGTATTGTTTTACTTGAATCTTCCCATTGATGTTTTAGGACTGAAATTGATCAGTCGGTACTGAGTTCAAGTCCCAGAGCGAACATCAACTCTGAGATGCAGGTACATCCTGCTGACGAGTCCCAAAAAGGACGAAACGCGCCTCCTGGATTCCACTGCTAGCCACTATCCATCTTTGCTCATAATGCTTGTAAATTAAGGCAATATCGAGGCATACGCACATATGCCAATGAGAGAATGATCAATTTTAGTCCTAAAACATCAATGAGAAGATTCAAGTAAAACAATACCAAGTGAATAAATATAATTGTTTCTTTTTTCTTTAAAATTCAATCGAAACTTATAGTTTATTCTTAAGTAACTGTTTACTAAGATTCCTTTTACATATAATTTTTTTCTTAATCTGTAACTGTAATTTCATCACAGTCTTCAATAAATATTGATGGCTTTTAAATGGAATTACTGAATATACAATCCTTTGAAGCCAAAGCTGATAATAGGGCGTTGGGGATTTAACACTTTCATGCAATTGTTCATCAATCATTGTGTTTCATTACAAGCAGTATATCTCAACTGCAAAGGTTTCATCATAATGCACTTAATTCAGTTGACTAAACGTGTTTAAAGTCACGAGTTGCAAAATGTACTCAGGTAGAATGTTTTTCTGCTATCTTTCGAAGTAAATAAAAGTATTTCCATCCTACAAAATAGAGGTTGAGAACAATATACATACACAGTATATGTATATGCTCATATAACAGACATTTTCAGTAATATTATTAATCAAAGCTAGAAAGTAGTATTCTTACTAAAACTTATTAGGGTTGTACACTTAAGTAAGGAAAATATTATTTTGTGTATTTTTAGAGTAAGATTCTTAATTTAGGTTGTAAGTAGTAGTTACCGTCGCGTTTCTCCAAGTAATTTAGCTAATGTCTACTTTTTTGCGTAAACTTCAAAGTAGCAACTGTATTAGTAGTTATCAATATTTGAATGGTTTGGAAAAATTGATTATTTCAACAACACGAATGTGGATAAAGAAATATCGATAATATTTGGCTGTTCTTATTTTGAATCCTTATGTAAAAATTTTCCTAACATTGTTCTTGCGATCTTTATTACAGCTGTATATATGTGCGTCTATATACATGCTTATCATCTTTTTGACAATTTTATTGATACGTTTGGCGTTTTTAATTCAAACATCAACTGTTGTATGAGTAAATCAATGTGACCTGAAATAAAATTATATGACTTCACTATTCATTTTTTCTGTAAATACATAGATTTAGGTCAAAACCTCAAGTTGTATATGCCTTAATCCTCATAAATAAATTAGGGCAGCCTTTTTATAAAGTGGAAATAGTTTTTATTCCTGCTCAGTTAGTAAACTCAATAAAACTGATTCTTTATTTATGCATATTCAATTATTATTATCGATTATGTATCGTAGAAACGAGATTACGATTTGTGAACCTTAGGGATCAAAATATAGTCAACGTATGCTCATTTTTATATGATATCATTTTATTGCTTTGTTGTAAAATAGTGGTAAGTTCGTCAGTATTACTAAAACTTGTTAACTGCATTTATTGGTCTATATGATGAACTAGGCTATATCATAATAATAATAATAATAATAATAATAATAATAATAATAATAATAATAATAATAATAATAATAAAGTATTAATTGTAAAAATGATCTGTTTCAGTAGTGAATAGTTTTTACTATGTATTTTCTGATATTAATAGGCGTCCAGTTTACCTTTAAGTATCATTATTGTTGGCGTCGGTCCTGCAAATTTCGACGAAATGGAAGAACTTGATGGTGATGAAGTAAGACTAAGTTCTCGTGGAAAAACGGCGATTCGTGATATTGTTCAGGTACGTTTATGATTCATATTTATTTCCTTTCTATTCTTTGTGTTATTTATAAATCTATTGATTCGGTGAGACTATTCAGTTATTTCTTAGAAGAATTGTATTCATTTAATTCAGATTCCATAATATTATCACAGTATAGGGTTGATTTATGGTCATATATTCTTGTTATCTCACATTATTTACATCAAATGCATTGGCTATTACTCGTTTTTGTGATGAAATTTTGTTTACTGATATCAAGGTAATTTGTGAAAATTTATCTCATGCAAGCACATTAGGATTGAGTTTAAACTGATACAAGAAATCTTTCTGAGTCATCTCATTCACTTGAAGAGTGGATTAAATTTAAAAGCATTGATATATCCTCATCGAATTGCTCTACCAACACATGTTAGTAGAGGCGGATATAGCATTTAGGTTACAAAATGTGGTTTTTTTTAGTTAATTCAACCCATATGCCAGGTACTGATTCGTGTACTCTGGTTCAAATCACATCCTGAGCGCGATAACTACTAACAAGTTGGCTAAACCAAATTATCAGAAGGTGGTTCGGAAATTGCAACTTTTTGACTAAAATTCGGACGATTTACCCACTAAGTCACCACGACCATAAAGGATATGTTTCTTAAACCTTTAGTCTTAGCCACTGTAATTTCTCAATCAGAAAGTCCTGTTGGTATCTGGAAATGAAGGTTACACCAAGTAAATACAACGACGGATGCACTTTTATTACCATTCAATGTTGATAGTAACATGAACAATCAAGTTATCTTGTGATATCACCAATAAAAATAGTATCTTTTTAATAAGATGTCTTTAAGAAACGAATATTTGAAAATGTTCATGTCATTAAATTTCCAATCTGTTTATGAAAACTACTTAATATGTAATGCGCTGGTCAGTTTCTCAGTTCTAAATAAAAGAATAAGATTAGTTAACTTAACGTTGTTATTTCAATATCCCTTGGTTCTCGAAACTGTGTTTAGTATCTTAACTCTGTTTCAATAAGTTTCTTCGTAGCTTGTGAGCGACAAACTAAAGTCATTTTAAATGCCTAGTTCTAAATATACTAGTCTTACAAAAAGCTCATAATACTGATTCTTTGAGGTGATCATGTATGTTGATTTTAGACTGACTGCCACTTACTCATCCAACAGATATTTTTATGATTTGTTTACATCAGTTTTCTGCTTACAACGTTTTCAATGATGTTTTTCTTGTAAATCATCAGAATTTTCCTCCTATTTCATTTAATTGTTCCATACTATTGTATAGTGTAGCAACTTGATCATCTGACCACATTATTCTGATTTCCTTTTTAAATTTAAGAAACTCTACTTCAATAAAATATAATTTCACTTTTTTTACTTTCTTTCAGTTTGTTCCTTTTCGTAATTTCCACCAGTTGAATAATGTTCAAGAGAGTAAAAGACGTTTAACTAAAGCTGTTCTCTCAGAAATCCCAGATCAATTGGTTTCTTATATGCGAATGCAAGGAATTAAACCGTTGAATACACAAAATAATGATTTTAAGATAGGAACACATTCAGAATTCAGGGATTCAAGTTGTAAAATGTATCATTCAGATAAATTGCCTCACACTCCACCTTATCCTACTGATATTGCTAATCCACCTTATCCAAATTGTTAATAAAATTAATCTAGTATAAATGTGTGAAACAATATAGAACAATTTATTTGAATATATAAAGCACGGCTTTAAACTGAAATGAATGTTTTTTTTGTATAGTTGAACTTCTACCTTTCATACTATCTTAAAACATTCATAACTTTTTAAATTTTTTCCCGGCTGATGATAATCATGGTCGCAATGTTTGCATTCTATGTGATTTGCAAGATTAATAAGTATTAACATATTTATGTTAATCATAATGCTTAATGTCTGCAAGCAGAATTCATATATATTCCAATAATTTACTTATCCATATAAATATTACCTAATTCTATTTGATTTTATGCATAGAATTTTGATGTCGTGTGTGCAATAACTCCATAATGTTCTATCATTTTATTTTTCTGTTTGGCTTATATAATTATCCTGAAGTTGTTTTTTTTTTCCTTCTTACAAAATAACAATAAATTCCTAAATGTGGTTTACGTTTAGTCAAAACCAGTTTCTAAATATGTGTCTCTTACAACTATAATAAATCCTCCTATTATTAGTGTCTTACTGAATTTACTCTTGTTTTTTCATAAACGTTTTTTTGTTTTCATTCTTTTTTAACGGTGAGAACAATAATGATATAAAAGCCATGGGTCATAGTGACAAAAAAAGCGGAAGTCTTATCTAATTAATGTCATATCTTCTTGTATCTTATAAGCTACTTTTAGTGCACCTGATATAACTACTTTTAATTTCACTACTCCTCAATAAGAAGAGAATACTAGAGAAAATAAATCATCTGTTATTGCAGAAGAAAAGTAAAAAAATTGCTGTTTGTAACACCGCATTTCCGTATACATTTAAATAGTGGTAAGGTCGTAATATATGCTTTCGCTTAACGGGCTTCCGTGTCTAGTAGCAGTGGATCACCAATATTCCAAGCAAGAACCTTGGTACATTAACCATAAAAAAGGGAAAAAAGGTAAATCATAGTAGTATACTATCCTTAGTGCTTAAGAATATGTCAAGTTCCCTCTTAAAGAACTCCTACTACGTCTCTTGCACTAGTTCAGCCAGCAGCGAACTCCAGCATTCGATGACTCTTAAATGGTTGGAGTTGTGTCTGCCATCAGCTCTGCTGTGTTCTGTTTCCAGTTTTTTGGGTGTTACCCCTTAGGTTTTCATTATCTACTTGGTTTCTCATGAGTTAGTAGAGAGATATTTTGACAGGAATACACAAATGGCTTGCCATGTAAACTGCGGTGGTCTTAAAATTGGCATACACATTTTACATTTTAGAAATGTAGATGTAAATAAATCGCCAGAATAGATAGTCCTCGAAATTGATGCTGAACTCATTAGTTTTGATGAACATAACCTAAGGCTCACGTTCACACATCCGCATCAGAATAAGAGTGTTACGCCGTGCCACGCATCCATCCTAACCACTAAACAGCTTAGATCCAACGACATCTGACGTATCGATGACTTCAAAAATAAATCTTCGAAGATTTTCATCGTGCTTCAGTTATAAAGATGCATAGTTTAAGAGAATAGTTCAGTTTTATACATTACTTACGCCTGTTACTCCCAATGGAGCATAGGCCACCGACAAGCATTCTCCAACCCACTCTGTTCTGAGCCTTCCTTTCTAGTTCTATCCGATTGTTGTTCATTCTTTTCATGTCTGTCTCCGTTTCTCGGCATAATGTGTTCTTTGATCTTCCTCTCCTCCTTTGGCCTTGACGATTCCAAGTGAGGGCTTGCGTTGTGACGCAGTTGGTTGCTTTCCTCAATGTGTGTCCTATCCACTTCCAGTGCTTCTTCCCGATTTCTTCCTCCACTGGAATCTGGTTTGTCCTCTCCCATAGTAGTTTGTTGCTGATAGTGTCTGGCCAACGGATTCGAAGTATTTTGCGTAGACAGCTGTTAATAAACACTTGTATCTTCTGAATGATGGCTTTTGCAGTTCTCCAGGTTACCGCGCCATACAGTAGAACTGTCTTGACAGTTGTATTGAAAATCCTGACTTTGGTGTTGGTTGACAGTTGTTTTGAGTTCTAGATGCTCTTTAGTTGTAAATATGCTATTCTTGCTTTGCCAGTCTGTGCCTTCACATCTGCATCAGATCCACCATGTTCATCAGTGATGCTGCCCAGATATGTAAAGGTTTTTACATCTTCTAAATCTTCTCCGTCAAGTATTATTTGATTGGTGCATGTTATATCGTATCGGAGAATCTTGCTTTCCCCCTCCTGTATGTTGAAACCTAATGCTGTTGAGGCTGCTGCTACACCGGTCGTCTTCTGCAATTGTTGTTGCGTGTGCGATAGAAGAGCCATATCATCTGCGAAGTCTACATTGTCCAGCTGCATCCCAGACGTCAACTATATCCCATGCTTCCCCCGAGATGTTGTCGTCTTCATGATTCAGTCGATCACCAGGAGAAAGAGAAAGGGTGGGAGTAAGCAACCTTGCCTGACACCGGTCTTTACTTCGAACGAGTCTGTCAGCTGTTTTCCATGCACGATTTTGCAGTTTGATCCATCATAGAAATTCCGTAGTATTGAAGAAACCTCCTTAGTGTTGTTCTGTCCACTCTATCACATGCTTTCTCGTAATCAATAAAGTTGATGTAGAGTGGTAAATTCCATTTAATTGTTTGTTCCACAATGATCCGTAGTGTTGCAATTTGATCGGTACCTGATCGATCCTTGCGAATCGAGTCTGTTGATCTCAAAGTTTGGCGCCTACAGAGTTTTTCATTTTGTTTAACAACACCCTGTTGAAGATCTTTCCTGTTACTGACAGTAGTGTGATTCCTCTGTAGTTATCACACTTGCTGAGATCGCCTTTCTATGGTATCGTGAACAGGTGTCATTGGATATGCGTAAATGTTTGTAAAATAAGCGATTAATTATTTGTATGCTTATGAATCTGAATGCTCAGATTAATTTAGAAATAGTTTAGCAAATCTCAGAATTACATGATATTCGTATTCACAAAAAGTGTAATATATCATGTCAAAGACTTCATAGAAGTAGTCTACTGTATCTTATGAAGATTCGACCAACAGGTACTAACTTGATGAACTGGTTCCGTATCTTGTTGGGGGCTTCTGTAGCCTTTTCCGAATGCTAGTTTATTTCAGCTAGGATGTTAGATTACATTTAGGTTAGTGGACGATTGAAATGCATGAAACATGACACAATTACTTTGATGTACACCAACTAGTATTCTCAACGTAACTGGTAGTAGAACTGTATTTTCGTGATTAGGACTTATTGTGTTTTTTTCAAAACGGGTACTACAATGGATTCTTTTTGATTAAAAAGTCTCCATCTTTAAAAATGCGGTGGGGCGGGGGCAGTTATGTAAGCTGTTTACCACCCACTGTAGTAAATGAAACTCATTCTTCATTTGCGCACCGTATGTTTCATCGGTCTTTATTAATTATGGAGTTGCAGTTGAATTTAGTCAGAGTTGTAGGAGGATCGAGTATGTTGTTCGCCGTGCTTTTCCTTCAGCTTAGATGTTTATAGTAACTGGGACTACTACATGTCGTACGACACTGATTTCTGATTTTATTGGCTGAAATAACTTTTTACAGTTGTCAGATTCTACGATTCCTTTCACTTTATTAGCTTGCTTTGATCCCTGAGTTTCATCAGTCGTTATGTAGACATTTTGAATATATAAATTTTTTTCGCGCTCAGAATTCGCACCGACAAGAGAACATGCTTCAAATTGCAAAAACCTCACAGAAAATCAGTATTTACTTGTGTAGTCTCACTAGGCGCCAGACCCAGCCAAGTTGATTACATCAGTTCACTTAGTTTGACACATCAGCCAGACAAATCCCATTCTTCCACACTCGACGGATCGCAGTATGACCATTTGAGTTACTAAAAATGTAAGATACAGACTAAACAGTGGTTTTCGTAATTGCAAGTAGTTCACCAGCATTGATGATTTACCCTATGTTTTGCCTTATGTTTTTCTGAAAATTTTTACAGAGTAGTTCGTTAAAAATTTTCATGTTGTAAGTTAGAACACATGCAAGCGAACAATATTGTTCTCAATCGGGTTGTCATCAGCTCTTACTCTTGTACGCATGAAATATTTGTCTGGGTATATAAAAATATTGAAACAATCAAGGCAGTTTGTGAGTCAGTGATCACAATGAAACAGGTTACACAAATAAACGTAATAAGAGGAAAAATACAAATTAATGGTAAGCAGATAGGTGTACTAGTAGTGATAGAAATAATAAAAGTTCTAGTTAAGAGTTTAACATAGGAAGTAGCTCAAACTGGAATAAATAAATAAAATTACGCAACAAAAAGTCATGTAAATAACCAGAATATAAACGAAAAGAGGTGAAGGACAAAAAACAATTACAGCACGTAAGTAAATCAACGAAGTCGTTTAATTAATCATACCAAACAACGAAGGGACAGGGGTGTCACGAATTTTTTCTGAACACATGAACTTGAGTTATAGACTCGGATCCCTAAAATTTCTGCTATATGGGCAAGACGAAATCGAGTTTTGTTGAGAAGTGACGGAATGATATGATAAATCACTTGAATTTAAGTAGTTTTATCGACCATATGACCACTGCTAACTGTATGTGCCAATATGGAGCTGTGTATCATGTTTGTCTGACCATGCCCTATAAATAAGTGTTGGATTAAATTTAGTAGTCTAATATTTCCGTCATCATGGGGTCGTAAGTGGAAGTTTATTGGGCAGACTAATCTTCACACAAGGTTCGCTCATCGTGAAATATTTCTTTACGTTTGTGTCATGTAGAAGGATCTCCAGTTTATGTTCATTATATAGGGTTACAGTAACTCATTGGCTAAATATGGATGTATGTAATCCATAATGATCCTTAAAGTTGCGATTTGGCCTGTACAGAATCAGTCCTTACGAAATCCTGCCCGTTAGTCACGAAGTTTGGCGTCTACGCTGTCCTTCATGCTGTTCAACAATACCCTGTTGAAGACTTTTGCCGGTATTGAGAGAAGAGTGTTGCCCCTGTAGTTATCACACTTGCTGAGATCGCCTTTCTTCGGTATTTTGATCAGAAGTCCTTCTTTCCAGTCTGTTGGTACTTGTTCCTCATCCCAAATCTTATTGAAGAGAATGTGGAGTATCCTTGCAGTTACTGTTACATCTGCTTTCAGTGCCTCTGCTGAAATGTTATCCGGTCCTGCTGCTTTGCCACTCTTGACTTGTCTGATGGCCATGCTGATTTCTTCAATTTTTGGTGGACTAACATCGATCAGGAGGTCCGTGAGTGCTGCTTCGATGTTGGGTGGGTTCAGTGGAGCTGATCGATTCAAGAGTTCTTTGAAGTGTTCTACCCACCCGTTTCGTTGTTCTTCAATGTTGGTGATTACCTCACCTTCCTTGCTTTTTACTGGTCGTTCTGGTTTGCGGCGATTTCCAGAGAGTTTCTTTGTTATGTCATACAGTTGTCTCATGTTTCCTTCTCTTGCAGCCTTTTCCGCCGTCGTTGCTAGATCTTCCAGATACTTACGTCCGTCGGTTCTGATGCTCCTCTTCAATTGTTTGTTTACTTCTGTGTATTCAGCTTGTGCCTTGGCTTTTTCTGCTCTTGTTCGATTGGTATTGATTGCTGGCTTCTTATTCCTCCTTTATGAATCTTATCCATTTCTTGTGGCCCAGAACCTCATGACATGTTGAAGTGATCGCCTCTTTTATCCTTCTAAAGTTCCTCTCCATAGTACTTCCCTCTCAATTGAGTGAATCGTGAAAGGCATGGAACCTATTACTGAGGACTATCTTGAATTTGTTGAGCTTGTCAGTATCCCGAAGAAAAGCCGTAGTAAAATTTTGTGATGTTGTCCGTCCCATTGTCCAGGGCTTCTTGAGTTTCAATTTTATCTTGGTGACCAGCAAGTGATGATCTGATGCTTTATCAGCTCCTCTCTTGGTTTCGTATCCTCCATCGTCCATTGTTGATACAGATATGGTCGATTTGGTTTTGTGTAGAGTGATCCGGTGAAGTCCATGTGGTTTTTTGTATGCGTTTGTGTGGGAATATGGTGCCGCCTATAACCAGTTTATTGAAGGCACATAGGTTTGCAAATCTCTCACCATTTTCGTTCCTTCCTCCTAGTTCATGTCGTCCCATGATGTCTTCATATCCGGTGTTTTCCATTCCAAACTTGGCATTTAGTTCTATTATGATAATGATCAAGTCCCTTGTTGGGCACTTCTCGACAACTGACTGCAGCCTATCGTAGTATTGGTCTTTAACGTCTTCATTGTACTCGCTGGTAGGCGTATAGCATTGGATGAAGTTCATTGAGATGCCCACTTTGTTTGTTTTGAAGGAGGCTTTAATGATCCTTGGTCCATAAACCTCCACATTTTCACAATCTGATTTCACAACAGCCGTACAGAAATTCCTAATTTCCTTGATTTTCTGGGTACTTCTGTGAGTCATTAGTTTCCGTTGAGCATTTGATTATCAATACGTCTTTGTAGGCAGAACTATGGACTTAAAACTGTTCTATACCATCAAGACGCATAAATAAGACAATGGTTCGAAATAACGTGATCTCTTAGATATTGGATAATGAACGTCAAGGCGCAGTTTAAAGGAAGTGCTGTAGATGGATGTTCTTAGTATTAGCCTTTCGGATCGCTGGTCTGCTAGCTCTGTCTCAGGATTTATTATTTTCAGTTATACTATTAGTTATTTACTCGTAGTTTATATGCACTCGAAATTTTCAGTATTTTCAAAGTGGACACCACTACCAGTCAGATATCTGATTTTTTAGTCATGGATAGCAATTAGTTCCCTTCAGAGTTTTTAAGGCCACGTAAAGCAGTGATATGAATAAAATAGGCAATTATTAGTTGTTTCATGAATGTATGCCGTCCCAAATGTAGGAAATGTTTAGAAAGACATTTCTCCTGGCGTAGAGATGGTCCATTCTGCTATACTGAGGGAAGCAGTCTCAATCCTGGCGACACCGCTTAGCGTGATGGTCCCACACTCGCTAAGGCGAGTCAAACTACCGGAAAATTGGAAGATGACTCACATCACACCAGTTTTCAAGGGAGGTCGACGCAGCGAATCTTCAAGTTACCGACCGGTGGTTGTTCTCTCTATACCTTCAAAAATTATGGAGTCCCTGATATGCGACGGTTTATTCGACTATCTACTGTCCTTAAATTTCTTCTCATCCCAACAGCATGGTTTCAGGAAGGGCTACTCTTGTATAACCAACGTGCTGACTGCAGTGGACAGATGGACAAGCATCCTCGATCTCATGAGAAAGGTTGACATCATCTACCTAGATTTCTCAGAAGCTTTTGATAAGGTTAACCATTTATGTCTTATCAATAAGTTTAAACGATCGGGTATCATACCACCTCTGATTGGTTGGCTTACTTCATATCTGAAAAATCGACATTTTAAGCTTAGGGTTAACTTCACTTTATCTCAGGCCATGGAATGTCCTAGTGGGGTCAGCCAGGGCTCAGTACTAGGACCTCTTCTCTTCTTGATTCACATAAATGATCTTCCAAGACAGGCATCGTCAGACAATTATTTCTGCTGATGATGTGAAACTTTGGAGAGAGATACGCAACCAAGACGATATACAGGCAATTCAGGAGGATCTGACTCGACTCTAAAGTTGGGCAGACGACAACAGACTGCAGTTACAACTTAAGAAACTTTTCTCTAGTAGTATCCAAAGTCGAAAAAGATTTAGGAGTCCTGGTGCCCTACGATTTGAAGTCTTTCGCTAACTGACAAAAATGCCTTTCGAGCAAATCTTGCACTGGTAACATTGAAGCGCATTTTTGGCAAGTTTGATGAATGAACTTTCACAAAATCTTCAACAGTTTTATTCGTCTTCATTTGGTGTACGGTAACAGTATTTCCTCCCTTACTCCAAAAGGATAAGGACACTGGAGCGTATCCAACGGCGAGCCACGAAATCAGTTAGGGGACTCAAATTCAAACCTTATGAAGAGCGCCTCCAATCACTTAACCTTTACACATTAGAGTATAGGCGTCTTAGAGGTGACCTTCTTATGGCTTACAGTATGCTTAACATTTCTGAACATCCCCTTAAACACCTATTTAAGCTTAGTCCCAATACCAACCTAAGGGGTAACACCCAAAAATTGGAGATGCAACATAGCAGAACAGACTGTAGACACAAATTCTACTTCTTAAGAGTTGTCAAATGCTGGAATTCGTTGCCGTCTGAACTAGTGCAAGAGACTTCCCAGGAGTTCTTTAAGAGGAAATTTGACCTATTCTTAAGGACCAAGGATAACATCTCATTATGAGTTACCAATTTCTTTTTTTCTTCCAATCTTTTATGGTTAATATTCCTAGGTTCCTACCTGAAGGTATTGGTGATCCCCTGCTACTAGACACGGGAGCCTGTTAAGCGAAAGCTTCTTCTATTTCGTCCACAACTATTTGAACTACGTTTAGACCTTAGTCGATTGTTCATGTCGAAATATTACCATACACTATCTTGCAGTTGTGATTATTAAGTAAAGGTAGCCATTAACTGTTCTCACTTCGGTATGTTCACAACAGCTTTTTATTATTGAGTGCTGACAACTGCTGTGTATTACATCTCTTTTTTCATACGACTAAGAGGATTTCAACTACGTAAATTCTTTAGATGTGAAGAAATAGTCACATACTGTCGATTTCATATAGCTATGTTAGACTGCCTCGCATGAACAATAATTTGCGTTATTGTAATGTTTACGAAATTCCGTGCTGTGTACATGACTTATGTAATTACTTTCTAATTTATTCTAAGATGTCTAACTGATGGAAATTGTCAGCATTGATTCACCGAAGTTCCGAATAGGAGATCTGAGAAAGCAGTTTATTTCCTGTCTACCCAATGAACATAAAATATTGAAGGAAAACGAAGCTAGTGATCTTCTTACATCTGAGTTTAAGAAGATCGTAACTGACTCTTCAATATTCAAACAGCTTGAGAATGATTGCAGGTAAATCTATATACAATTTGAGATTTTTGTTTAGTTTGGAAAATTTATACGTCGATAGAGAGTACACGACCTTAGAAGAAATCTTAAAAATCATACCATCGAGGAAAGATGAAAAGCAGCTGAAAACCCTAACTCATTTACTGAAAGAAACTGAAGGTTTGAATTCTAGAACATCAGTCCTCACAGCAATGCAAAGAAATCCTCGACCACTTGTGGATATGTCTTACCGAAATTCTGTTGATGAATCTCCAGAGGCCACAGAAGTCATCCCGGATGTATTTGTGACCGTTCTTGTCTACCGACCATTTAGCCTTCCTAACATTGATCCCTGTGCACAGGTATTATTGGTCATTTTTAGCGACTTTGTAAGTCTCGGCAACTAGTCATTACTCAGAGGTTGGTGCTGTTGTCCAAACAAAATCTCACAGTCTTAAGGGAAGCTATAAAGTGTTCACAAGATAAAGTAAGTGTTAACCCTATGTAAACAGTTATCAGGTTTGGCTAGGAGACTGTAGCGAGGCCCTTGATAATCCTGAACTGCGTGTTTCGGCGGATAAAATATACCCTTCTTCATACTTTTTCATTGAAGGCACGTTTTATGATGATTTGCGGAACGCAAATAGCAAGAGCCTTGGGGAGTAAGTTATTCTGTTTACTTACGTTATGCCCTAGAGAGGTTATACAGTGGGCGAAAAGCAAGAAAGAACTTAAGACGTATGGGCCTTTTACATCATTACCAATGGAATCAGTGACTCTCGAAAATCTTGTTATTTGTATTGGAAAGCCATATTTCTTCGTACACCAAGGAAATTGTGAACATATGATTATCTTCTCCGATATCCGGTGGGTTTAAGAACTCATTCCTTAGTTCTGGCATTCCGCTTTATCTATTATACTAGCAATTTACTTGAAATCGTGGTTAACCTCAACCTAATCAATTTGTAAACTATTGCGTCACCAAATCGACTACTCTTAACCTATTGTTTGGCTAAGTAAATGACCATTCTGGGATCCCATATCGGTATTTCGAGGACAATTTATATTCAGGACATGGGATTCTTGAGCCCTAGCAAGTGAACCCTGTTGCTCGGTTGGACATAGGCTTCGGACATTAAAAGGATCACCGAATAGTTTAGAGCGTGGCTTCAGTAAACTTTTGACGCCATTTTGTTAACTCGAATAGTCAGCACTAGTGGTATGTCTAGGAGAAGTTGAAGATTTATGTTTAACGAATTATTAGTGAGTAAAAGAGGGATTGATTGTGAATAAGGTGACATCAAGTTCTGCTAGATATATAAGGGTGGGTGTTAGTTCCGGACTCCAGACCTCGCGGAATCATTCTTGAAGGAAGGAACGAATTTTCACTTTACTCTTAAAGAACCTGAAAAATAAACTGGTCTTGGTGTAATTTTGACTAATTAAAATGAGTCACCGCAGAGCTCAAATGCTTGAAGTAATCAGTAAATTAATTTTAGAAGGAAATGAAAGGGACTTATCGCCAATAAATTGTAAAATGAACAGCCACGCCAGTCTGGGTCATCATTATTCTTCACATTATTGTGCAATCAGAAAACTGCGGCGTGTTGCTGTTGGCTTTAATATTAATTCTAAAATCGCAACCTGTCAGAATGTTTCTGTTATTACCCTCGCTTTTATTTCGTCTAATGTTATAATAGTTGGGTTTCCACTTTTACATGTATGGGACGCTAATTTACCTTAGACGAATATCTACACTAGATTTCCTCCCAGTGTCTATTCTACAGGACGTCAACAGAACTCAAATCAAGAATACATGACTATCCTGACCACAACGTAAATATACTTCCACACCAAAAACCCGACCCAGTTCAACAATAATGTACAATAATAAGTGAGAGTAATAATAAGGATAGGGTAATATATAACTTATCTGATACCTGTCAGACTATCTACATGTCTGACTAAGCAGACAATCAATCATTGTCATTCTCGCCCACACATCATTTTCAATGCCTTTAAACGTTATTTTGTCATTTGTTCCAGAAATAAACACAGCAAGTTTTTCCGTCACTGGTTGTTTATTAGATATCGGATGATATGAAACCATTATGATCGACATTCTGACTGATACATTAACCAGGTGACTCTGCAACACATTGTACTGAAAACACGTCTCTAACAGTTTGAAATATACATAACTCGCGAATTCCTCATCACTAGGATAAAAAAAGGCAATTTGCATGCTGTATGCTATCGTTTAATTTGAAAGTTTAAAGCAATAGACAAGTTTCAGACAGCTATTTTCACAATTTTTTTAAACTTCAGTCTTGTAGATCGTGATTCATGTCAAACTGAGTCCTTGTTCCCAATGCTCACCGGTCGATGCAATGTACGTGTAATGCATTGTTTCGTTTGCAGACGTCTTGCATCCCGCTGGATAGTTACAGAGTGTGGGACCATTTTACCTGTCGATCCATGTCCAATATGTGATGTATGCATCCGACTGCTACTTTACACTGCTGATGGAAAGAAGATTAATCCGCGTTTTAGAGTTTTGATGTATTGTGGCGAGGAAATTGTAGTGTGAGGCCTCATGTAAATAATTTAAAATAAATACTTTAAAAAAGCATTTCACTTTTCACAAATCAAACTCTAAAATTACACTAATAGCAATCTTCAGCTGTTTTTCTGTAGAATTTCGATAATCGAATTAACACGTTGTTGCATATCCTTCACTGATAGTTTACGCTTCCAACTAATTCCTATATATTTCAGACAATAAATCTTATGGGTTTTCCTAGAGAGGAGAAAAACAATGAACAAGCAGCGAACACAAACCCATCAGTAGGAGAATCAAGCGCAGATAAAGTTGCGGCTGCTACTTTCGGTGTTTTATCTGAAATTTCAAGTCTCTTAAACACAGGTAAACGTGGTAAATTTAATCAGAATCCCCAGTTGATGTCCACTTTAATACTAAAAACGACTAAATTATCTACTGTAACAACGCAAAACCTGGTTAAATAAAGATCGACCTTATATTAATTTTCAAGCTAATTAGTTAAAAAACAAGAAGTGGTAGTTGCGCGTCACAACTTATTAGGACTTATCAAATGTTAGGTGAACATTGATTTTAGATCCTCTGAATAATTGTTCTATTATTATTATCATCATCACAAAATCGTAGCTCAAAAATGTCCCATTTATAAGCTTTATTGACTATCGCACTTTTGATTGTGACTAGATTTCTGTAAACAAATACATCTTAGCTCTAAATATCTTATAGCACTACCGATTTCATAATCATAGTGGACATTAAGATTTTGGTCTCACGACTTCCCACGATGAAGATGTCACTGAAAGTGGGTATTATCATGTTTCTTAATTCCACAAGTATGACACGCAGTTGTGACTGCGTAATACTTCAAAAATATTACGTAAGCTTACTATATGCTGTTCTCTCGAATACCTACGATGAAATTCGGAGTTGTGAGAAATTATGAATGGGACCTTCAGGATCACCTACAACCCTCATCTTTATCCGATGTCCTGTCACAAATGGTGGGTATGTATGAAATTAGGAAATGCTATTGGTTTATCCTGTAATGAAATAGTGTGGCAAATTACTTTGTCTAAATTTTTCATTAAACATATATTGTACCCGGTTTAACTTCAATTCACGTAATTTTCATTTTAGGTTTAGATAATGAAGAATTGCTGATGTGCATCAAACTAATTGAGAGCGGTGTGAACCCAACTACTCTAGCTTTACTTGTAAACAATGTGAAACGACAGTGCGAACACCTTTCTGAACTCAAAAGATAAGTAAAACTTTGAATCCTGTATTGCATATTCAGAGATTGCAAAATAAAGAATTATTATTAACAAGAAAGAAATCACAGCTTTTCAACGAGTGTTGTTAGCAACAACCTTGTAGTTTGATTAAATTTGTAAACAAAGCGATTACCAATAGTCCAATGTAAGAAACAAAGAAATAATACAATACATAAGTAGGATATGTCATATAGTAATAAGGAAGCCTTTCAGTATGACAACTCAACCGATGGCATCAGCTATTATTCGGCTAACAACGGGATCAGATGAACGTACTGTGATTTGGAAAGTTACACCCTGTTCGTTTGAATGAAGGGATGCATCAGACAATACTTTAGCAAGTTTACATAAGGCCAAAACTTGGTACCCACCACGATATACTCCGGACAGAAGGAGCTGATGAGATGACTTTCCTTCATGAGGCATATGATCAGTTTGATCACAAGGCTGAAGTCCAAGGTGTTCGATAATTTGACGCATCGTTTCTAAAGTATGAGGAAATAACCAATGATTTAAATCGAAGAAGCATTAGGATTCGTTACATATCTGTAAAAATCAGTGTTTTACAATAAATATCATTTGATGATCATGAGGAGCTACATAGTGTATGTTGCCCTACTCTCGAAGAAAACAAAATTATGAACGATTCAGCCGTGTTCTTTCAAAAGCATTGACAAAAGTAATCTAACTTTTTATTACACACTACATAAAAACAATAACCTTAGCTTAATTCCGTTAATTGTGTAGACCGAGGCAGAGTACACCCATTTCTAAGGTAAGAAAAGAGATTAGTTTTAAACAGTTCTTTAATGAGAAAAATGTAAATTCACTAGACATTTTCATCTAGCAAAATAATAGTGAGCCCTATAGATTTTGAGCAGGTGACAAAAAAACGGTAAAACTCGAGGGTTTCCTATAGTTTGAAAATATGAAAAAAACCCACTGTGATTATAAGAAGACAGATAAGTTGTTTTTATCGTAGCCAACATGCTTTACTTTAAAATACTTCGTAATATACTATACCCTGTTTGGGAACAAATCTATTGATAAATTTGACTTCGTTAAGACGCTCTATACTTTTGTTTCGATAGTTAAATAACGTTAATTAAAGTTAATAGAATGTCTAACATTTTGATACACACATTGGGTTTGTATTAATCATTTATTTATTTATTTGAACACATAAATATTGGTACAAGAGAGCGCCAATATATATGCGCCACACTTGATTAATTTGATTAATTAATTGTATTAATCAAATTGATCTGCGTAATTCATTGGTCATTTAGTTCGAAGTAACAGACTGTAAGTGTAAGATAAAGTATCAACAGTAAAGTTTAGCATACCTTTAATAGTTTTGTGCTTCACCAGCATATACGTTTCCTCTACTTCAGTTTCAGGACTGAGTTCCTGCCAAGCCAATGTAAAGTTCTGTTTCGAAACACGTTGAATATGGTCTGAAATACCTAGGACCAGGTCTTCCAACTGTTATAAAAGTCGGAATTATTAGAAAATGAGAAACCAGAAAAGTGGATGGGGGATATGATGTACCATAACAAAAACATACTTAGCGACTTTAACTTAATTGTTATTTCATAAGCAAAAATGTATGATGGCTAGCTGTGGAATCTAGGATGTGCGTTCCGTCGTATTGGGGACTTGTCGGTCGGATTTACCGGCATCACCGAGTTGATGTTCACCCCAGGACTCGAACCCAGTACCGCTCGCTACAAACGCCATCACAAAAGGTGCTGGGTTCGACTCCCGGATTAAACATCAATATTTGGGTGCAGTTACATCTAACTAACAAGTTCCAAATAGTACGAAGCGCGCATCCTGGATTGCACTGCTAGCCACCATCCATTTTTGCCTATAATGCTTGTGACTCAAGGCAATCCGCACAGGATGTGCATATGCCAGTAAGAGACTGGTCGATTGCACTCCTAAACATCGATGGGAAAATAAGAACGAACAATAAATAAATATAAAAACAAATTAATTATAATGTGATATTCCCAACGAAATGAAACTTTTTTTGCTTTACTAACATGCAACTGCAATTTGTTTACGTCTAACTGGAACATAGTACAGATCCACTTTTGTTACTTAGTTACTTTATTGACAATGTTCGACTACATATGCGCCTTGAAACTAAATACTGAGTAAATTAACAATATTGACGGGCCTTCGTGTGGATTACCGAATACTTCACTTGATACGACTGTTTGGTATTTTTCAGATCTAAAAAACTACTTGTTTAAGAGCAATGACTAAGTTTGTTAAACGTGTAAGGTTTAAAATGGATCAAATATGAAACAAGTTAAACCTTTGGATTTATTATTATTGTTCATACTGACAATTAACAAAGTATCGCGTTCATCCAAACTTCTAATGATTTTCGGGTACTAAAATAATAGTCTAGCCATGCAACTACAAAATTAGGTGTATTACATGGATAAAATATTTCCTGTAAATATCTGGTGAGATATTTAGAAAATGATGAGCAGAATTGGCTAACCAATGTTCATACCAAAAGTAATCGTACGTCTTCTAACTAATTACTGTATAAGTACAGTATACGAGGTAGCTGTAGAAAAGCAGCATGTGTCTATGAACTGTGATTAATGATACAAGTATAGTCTTGACATGCTAAATTGCTGCTTTTTCAGGATTTATTTTACAGAATGACTCAGTGAAAGATAAATTATATTTACAGAATCAAAGTTTATGACATGATGTGTAACACAAACCTCCATTGGGCCCACAAATAACTTACTTGATATTCGTCTGGCAAACCAGGATCCGAAGGATCAGAGTCAATATCTTTGATAGTAAATTTCAATATGTTGATAAATGTAGCAGAATGACATTCTAGATCCTCCGGCAACTCAACTAGAACATACGTCACAGCGGGAGAATTATATTTTAAGCTTTTGCAAGGTACTGTGCAGACAATGTTAAACATGGGATCGTCCGGCTCACACGAAACATAGACATTCTCCAAGACTTGGTCTGCCATTGTATTGACACAATCAAACTGAAACAAATTATTGAATGAAATCAGAGCGAGCAGAGAATAAACAGAAGGTTACTCACTTCTATATGATATTGAATTACTTGACAATCTATAGTTTGATGTGATAAGACTAAGAAAAGACGAATCCGGACTGTTTATATAGCAGCAGTGATCTAAACCTTGTATATATAGGGCCTAGAATCGTGGTCTTAAGGAAATGTAATGAGATATTAAGAGCTATCAGGCAGACAAAACGCAAATGTGGTTCATTGACTCATTTTTACTGTTTTCTGTATCAAACGAAACGATATCTGTATTGCCGAACTATATAAGCTTCAACAATTAAATTAACGAAAAATAACTCAATACTCAGAACCAATTGTGTTTACGTGTAAAAAGTGCTTCATGCTTGCTAATAAATGTTTGGAAATCTGACTCACCTGCAAGACTAAATGCCTTGAGAATAAATGTTTTATGCATGATACTACATATTCAGTGTCAGATTCAGTTAATTCTACTAAGGAAGAAGATTTGAATATGGAGCCAATACCAGAAAATTCGGGTATAGATGCCAGCTGCTCAGCAAATGAATCTTGAATACGTTTCCCTGACATCTGAGAAGCAAGTGATGCGTTTCGACCTTCACCAGCCATCGTATTAGATTTAGCTTGAAAACAACATCAGAATTTATTGAGAAATAATCAAAGTACTTTGTCCTGATAATTGTGAAAAAACAAATGAATATATCGCACTAGAAACAAGATGGTAACCTCGGACTACACATATCAATGTATTTTGCAGCAGAGAAATGGTAAGTGGGAGTGTATCCATCACAGAAAATAATTTCGAGTCATATCATCTGATACTGAACTCATGTGTGTAAATCACGACAATCGTTTCAACTCTCCATATACTTCAACCCAATGACCGGTATCCCAAGAGTGCCGCCATATTTTCGTCTGACTATCCTTGATCTTTTCTAGTTTAGCTGTACTGTTTGAGTAACTCACTTATACAAACCAAATTAGTTCTACCGTGGGATTATTATTTCAAAATCACAATAGACTACTAGTTATTATATATTTTGTCCGCTCGCGATATATTAGTGTTTTTATTATTTCTAGGTTGATCACAGAACAGATAAGATGTGATAGGCGATAAGTATACATATAAAACTCCCACAGCAAAAATACCTCATATAAAATGACATCATTTTTAACTCGGTAACAATATTTTAAACGATGTCCACGAACTTATTTCAAAATTAATTTTTTATTGAATACTCCCTCGGATTATTATTAATACGCATAAGACAGTTTTGCTTACCTTTAATCTTTACAACATCCGATTCAATGGCAGAACTAAGATCATTTGGCTGAACAATATCAGCTATTGGGACTGTCGCCAAAGAGAAAGGACTACCAGCAACTGTGTGTGAGTTGTGCACATAATCCAACAAAGCACGCTCTAAACCAGATGGACTTAGATGCATTTCTTCACTTAAAAGGTAAGCAGATTTTAACGCTACTTGGTTATGTGATAAAATATAGTGGTAGAAAGCTGCGCGATCACGAACCTCATCGTCTTCATCAATCATAATTCTAGACGTAGATGAAACAAAAACAAGATGGTTTTGAAGGTAAATAAAAAAAATGACCATTGAAAGGATCCGTCTGCTTTATACACAGAAAAAAATAATAGCGAGCTTAGTCCCCAACTATATCTGATTTAGATGACACAACACTAACAGAATGGTGAATTCAAAAAGCTAGAAAAAGGCGAAGGACAGGTCAGAAATTCTTCGTGAAGGAAATACAAAAAACGCGACCAGCATTTGAATGCATTGTCTATTACTAAACGTTTTCGATGTAATTATCTACTGCACTCATGTTCAGAATATTGTCGTGAATAAAACTGATATGAACAACAAACAGTTTTGATAAACATGCAGTGTGCTCCGCACAAATCTTTAGGCTACCTCCTTTTCAAATATAAACAACAACGACCCATGTGTTTGGTTTATTCAGCCTAACTATTATTGTTGAACACTAAGGGTTCAGTTAGAGCTTATGGCAAAATGTCATCGGAAATGATAACTTCGTCAGGGTTGTCTGCTTCCCTTATCTCTACCTAACCTTGTCATAACCATGCTTTTGGAGATAACGCCCTAATGGTCTAACTCATCAGAAATCTATCCTCAACCAACAAACTCACTTATTGACTTAAAATTCGATGATATAATTCTGTTAGGTGAAGACACTGAAAAAATGCAAGCTCCTGACCACCTTGAATAACAATGCAAACGTTTCTCTCCATCACATTGCAGAATGTTACTCTAGAACTGGTCTGCGCCAACGCCTGAACTAATGATAGGAAGTGAAGTAATTAGGTACGTCTATCTCTTGACCTATCTTGGAAAACTCATAAACCTTGGTTGATGAAATGGCCCAAAATCGTTGGCAATGGCACGAGTATACTTATTTTTTGTCTGCCCTTACATTCTATGTATTTAAATTTTGGCGCGAAACTTTCTCGTTCATATGGCAAAAAAGCATTTTGGTATTACAGCTGATATCAGTTCGTAATGAAAACTGTGACTTATTTTTAACCCTTACGATCAACAGCAAATTAGTCGAAGTTCTCAGCGTCATTTAAGCATCCCTCAAAGGTCGTATCTAAATTAGTCTCACCGACAGATTTTGCGTCGCGTATGACTGATTGACCAATATTGTCCATTAACCCCTTCTTAATACTTATGGATATTAAAAGAGGCTTGTAAGCCATCACTATGCTGAACATTTTAGAAATGAAACGGGAGAGGTTGGTTCTATATTTCTCTATTTTTCTATCCTCGCAGGACGAAGGGACAAGTACATTATAATTCATACCTATTTGTCTAGATTGAGAAGTCATATTATACACCGTTTTTATGGACGTCGTTCTTATTACTGTCTTTGCACTGATGCGAAAAAATTTATTCAGACGAATTACAACTAGAATGAGTAAAAAAATCAACGTTTATAAGTTCATTCAAAAAAAACTCATTCAATGTTCAGACCATTTCACGATATCAGTGTGAATCATCTAACCAGTGATGCTACAGTTTAGTAAGATACTTTATAGTACGTTTTGTCGTAACTATCGATCTTTAGTGGGCAGGTATCAACAGAATCTCAGTTGACAGAACAAATGGGTGATTAACTACTAACTTTTTTATTATTTAAAGTCTTGCACATGATTGTTTGTTTTACGTAAACCATGTCAATTCAGACATAGCTTTAATTAATTCGAAATGTCATAAGATATAGACCATAAAATGTGAAGCTCTAAAATACTAAAATTCTAGATCCTTTGGTAGACAAAACGGCAGACTTAAGCTTTTAAGAATTATCCGATTACTGAAAGATTTTTAACACCCATCCCTACATTGAAATGTCCCATGACTTTTTTAAAATCCTCACCTGTTAATTAATTGTTTATCCAAATTAAATTTTGTACGTCGCTTTACAAACACTATGTTGAATTCCACATTACAGGAATATTCGAAGTTTGTACGAAGTGCTATTTCCAAATCTAACAAAGCTCAATATGAACAAAAATTTATAAAAAAAACCCAGACAACAAAAAATTGTGTATACCGTTTAAGAAGTACAAGAATACTCGGAAGTAATTCCTCATTGTGTGCAGCAAACCTCGCCAGAGCTGTTGTAGCTGTGCACTTAATGGGAGCTGATTCAAGCATAACTCTATTGTAAATGTAACGAGTAAATTGACGAGGACGTTTGAGGTAGGGTCCCTCCCGTCCCAACAGATGGAGTATACGCTGTGTTAGTTTAACATGTTCACAATCCTCTATGAAGTCACATAATTGTAACAAACCTATATTCAGATTAGAAATAAGAAACACATATTTAGTAGCGAAGTATAAGCATGTCCAAGCGTTAACTTTTATTGTCTAACAAATCAAAGAGTGAAAGGGGATAGAGTGTTTAGCAGGAGACGACCTACATGTTTGAAATATTTTTCAGTACGATACTGTTTTGAATTGAGTTTTGGTAGAGTTCAACCCCGATTATTAAGTTTATTATGTGAGAAAGTATAAAAATTACTGGTTAGCCATTTAGCATTTAATCAATAAACCACAGGCTCGAATCACGCGTTCCATAATTTTCTTTACGCAGTTGGACAATATCATTAGTCCAAATCGGATTACATACATCTATATTTAGCCAATGAGTTACTGTAACCCTATATAATGAACATAAACTGGAGATCCTTCTACATGACACAAACGTAAAGAAATATTTCACGATGAGCGAACCTTGTGTAAAGATTAGTCTGCCCAATAAACTTCCACTTACGACCCCATGATGACGGAAATATTAGACTACTAAATTTAATCCAACACTTATTTATAGGGCATGGTCAGACAAACATGATACACAGCTCCATATTGGCACATACAGTTAGCAGTGGTCATATGGTCGATAAAACTACTTAAATTCAAGTGATTTATCATATCATCCCGTCACTTCTCAACAAAACTCGATTTCGTCTTGCCCATATAGCAGAAATTTTAGGGATCCGAGTCTATAACTCAAGTTCATGTGTTCAGAAAAAATTCGTGACACCCCTGTCCCTTCGTTGTCTGGTATGATTAATTAAACGACTTCGCTGATTTACTTACGTGCTGTAATTGTTTTTTGTCCTTTACCTCTTTTCGTTTATATTCTGGTTATTTACATGACTTTTTGTTGCGTAATTTTATTTATTTATTCCAGTTTGAGCTACTTCCTATGTTAAACTCTTAACTAGAACTTTTATTATTTCTATCACTACTAGTACACCTATCTGCTTACCATTAATTTGTATTTTTCCTCTTATTACGTTTATTTGTGTAACCTGTTTCATTGTGATCACTGACTCACAAACTGCCTTGATTGTTTCAATATTTTTATATACCCAGACAAATATTTCATGCGTACAAGAGTAAGAGCTGATGACAACCCGATTGAGAACAATATTGTTCGCTTGCATGTGTTCTAACTTACAACATGAAAATTTTTAACGAACTACTCTGTAAAAATTTTCAGAAAAACATAAGGCAAAACATAGGGTAAATCATCAATGCTGGTGAACTACTTGCAATTACGAAAACCACTGTTTAGTCTGTATCTTACATTTTTAGTAACTCAAATGGTCATACTGCGATCCGTCGAGTGTGGAAGAATGGGATTTGTCTGGCTGATGTGTCAAACTAAGTGAACTGATGTAATCAACTTGGCTGGGTCTGGCGCCTAGTGAGACTACACAAGTAAATACTGATTTTCTGTGAGGTTTTTGCAATTTGAAGCATGTTCTCTTGTCGGTGCGAATTCTGAGCGCGAAAAAAATTTATATATTCAAAATGTCTACATAACGACTGATGAAACTCAGGGATCAAAGCAAGCTAATAAAGTGAAAGGAATCGTAGAATCTGACAACTGTAAAAAGTTATTTCAGCCAATAAAATCAGAAATCAGTGTCGTACGACATGTAGTAGTCCCAGTTACTATAAACATCTAAGCTGAAGGAAAAGCACGGCGAACAACATACTCGATCCTCCTACAACTCTGACTAAATTCAACTGCAACTCCATAATTAATAAAGACCGATGAAACATACGGTGCGCAAATGAAGAATGAGTTTCATTTACTACAGTGGGTGGTAAACAGCTTACATAACTGCCCCCGCCCCACCGCATTTTTAAAGATGGAGACTTTTTAATCAAAAAGAATCCATTGTAGTACCCGTTTTGAAAAAAACACAATAAGTCCTAATCACGAAAATACAGTTCTACTACCAGTTACGTTGAGAATACTAGTTGGTGTACATCAAAGTAATTGTGTCATGTTTCATGCATTTCAATCGTCCACTAACCTAAATGTAATCTAACATCCTAGCTGAAATAAACTAGCATTCGGAAAAGGCTACAGAAGCCCCCAACAAGATACGGAACCAGTTCATCAAGTTAGTACCTGTTGGTCGAATCTTCATAAGATACAGTAGACTACTTCTATGAAGTCTTTGACATGATATATTACACTTTTTGTGAATACGAATATCATGTAATTCTGAGATTTGCTAAACTATTTCTAAATTAATCTGAGCATTCAGATTCATAAGCATACAAATAATTAATCGCTTATTTTACAAACATTTACGCATATCCAATGACACCTGTTCACGATACCATAGAAAGGCGATCTCAGCAAGTGTGATAACTACAGAGGAATCACACTACTGTCAGTAACAGGAAAGATCTTCAACAGGGTGTTGTTAAACAAAATGAAAAACTCTGTAGGCGCCAAACTTTGAGATCAACAGACTCGATTCGCAAGGATCGATCAGGTACCGATCAAATTGCAACACTACGGATCATTGTGGAACAAACAATTAAATGGAATTTACCACTCTACATCAACTTTATTGATTACGAGAAAGCATGTGATAGAGTGGACAGAACAACACTAAGGAGGTTTCTTCAATACTACGGAATTTCTATGATGGATCAAACTGCAAAATCGTGCATGGAAAACAGCTGACAGACTCGTTCGAAGTAAAGACCGGTGTCAGGCAAGGTTGCTTACTCCCACCCTTTCTCTTTCTCCTGGTGATCGACTGAATCATGAAGACGACAACATCTCGGGGGAAGCATGGGATATAGTTGACGTCTGGGATGCAGCTGGACAATGTAGACTTCGCAGATGATATGGCTCTTCTATCGCACACGCAACAACAATTGCAGAAGACGACCGGTGTAGCAGCAGCCTCAACAGCATTAGGTTTCAACATACAGGAGGGGGAAAGCAAGATTCTCCGATACGATATAACATGCACCAATCAAATAATACTTGACGGAGAAGATTTAGAAGATGTAAAAACCTTTACATATCTGGGCAGCATCACTGATGAACATGGTGGATCTGATGCAGATGTGAAGGCACAGACTGGCAAAGCAAGAATAGCATATTTACAACTAAAGAGCATCTAGAACTCAAAACAACTGTCAACCAACACCAAAGTCAGGATTTTCAATACAACTGTCAAGACAGTTCTACTGTATGGCGCGGTAACCTGGAGAACTGCAAAAGCCATCATTCAGAAGATACAAGTGTTTATTAACAGCTGTCTACGCAAAATACTTCGAATCCGTTGGCCAGACACTATCAGCAACAAACTACTATGGGAGAGGACAAACCAGATTCCAGTGGAGGAAGAAATCGGGAAGAAGCACTGGAAGTGGATAGGACACACATTGAGGAAAGCAACCAACTGCGTCACAACGCAAGCCCTCACTTGGAATCGTCAAGGCCAAAGGAGGAGAGGAAGATCAAAGAACACATTATGCCGAGAAACGGAGACAGACATGAAAAGAATGAACAACAATCGGATAGAACTAGAAAGGAAGGCTCAGAACAGAGTGGGTTGGAGAATGCTTGTCGGTGGCCTATGCTTCATTGGGATTAACAGGCGTAAGTAAATAAGTGATATTCAATTGTTTGCAGTCAGTTTTAATGACAATTTTGAGAGTTAGTGTTTCAGAAAACTATTTGAAATCAATTCTCTGATGATCAAGAATTTCAAGTGATTATCTTATTTTGCTAAATTTTAGATATGAGAAAAGTTTACAGAAACGCGTAAGACAAACCTACCTATACTTTTAGCTTCTGGAATTTGTTTGATAATTGATTCGATAGCAACCACAACTGCTTTCTTAAAAGTGTATCCAGCCGAATCACGAAGAAGTCCAGATAAAAAGTTTAATAACACTGTATACTTTTTGGGGTACTTTGTTGCTAATGCATGAATAGATTCCAATACGACTATTTTAAATTCATCGCTTATTTCACTCATGAACGGAGATACATGTTTTAGCAAACGTTCAACATTCGACTCGTTACCCGTCTAAAAAAATTAATAAATAATATTCTAAGCTGTGTAATTCCATATAGTCTATAACTATTGCACATTACAAGTTATATTGCGCCAAATTGAGTTCTCACACATTTCAATAACGTTGAAAGAGGAAACCAGAAAAATAAGAAAGTAAAAAAGTGAATCAATGTTGAGTATTCACAATAGTATTAATTATCCATACTCCTACAAACCGATGTTTTATACAACGAAAATCCTACAGAATGGGAATAACTTACCAATCACTTTAGGCAAACCACTGAACTAGCTTAAAAGAAACCCTGTTTAAGCTCTGGGCAACTAAAGAATCTACAACAATAAAGTATAGATCGATGCGGTGTTTCCATGTCTGTTTTTACCTTGTAGGTCTTAAATTAGATCTACGATCGTTGAAAGGGCACAATAGTGTACCAAGTACAAGCCAAGTACGTTGAATCAGAAAACTAATATTTACCTGTCTTGATTTTAGATAGTTTATGGCCGCCAACATCAGTTACTTTAGGTATTAAAGAGGGATTATGGTGAATACACAACTCACTGATATTGATTACTGAAGGTCGCTTGGGAATTGCTAACTGCTACCGATCAAGGTTTGTGCAGATTCTGATCATGGTGGGAATCACAAATAAAAATGAAGCTAGTAGTCTACCGCAGTTTTAATCACTTACCTTTAGTAAAGTTGTTATTGCAAGTGTTGCAATGCTTCTATTAGGATCACCGATTAGTTGCTCAAGATCGAGATTACATGCAGTTACCGCTGCAGGATGGTTACTGGCGACAGCATTTAACGTATGTACAGCAGCATATCGTAACGCAGGTTTGGAAGACGTACAAAGTAGTTGTAAAACACCCACAGCAGGTGCTAACTCTTTAGCTGTTAAGTTTCGGAGGCTAATTATTGCTCGAGCTGCTTCATATATGACCATCTCCGATTTATGGCGAAGAGATGACTCCAAAAACTCATATAATTGTGGATTATTCCTTAAGAAAGTGTGGAAATATGGTTTAAAGGGTAGAAAAGACATTTTAAAACGACAAACTGCGTTTGAAGATGTGAAGAAGACAGAATAGCACATTATACATATCATACAAAATATGTGGATCTAAGTCAGAAATCATTTCTCAGTATAGTGTATGTACACAGCAATTGATGTGACCCAGACAGTTCAAACAAATTCGACTTGTTTTGGAATACAGGAAGTATAGGACATTACTATGGTTTATACACCTTAAAATTTTAACAATACATACGACATACTTCGCGCGAAAATGACGACAATATATGACCAAACGTGGTCTACGAGCTAGTTAAGATTTTGAAAAGCATGAGAACTCATATGCAATAGTCGAGAGAGCATATGGATATGGAAGAATTACTCCGATCCTAGTGTGGTCATTCACTTGAACTCACCTCGGCGAAACGGAGAGCCGACGAGATACACCCTACGTGTATTTGGAGACCCGATGGCTAGTTCTCGTGAACTGGCAGGTGTGGGCATAGCACTGAGTATGAAGGCGGAACAAGCACTATTAGAGTGGATCCCCGTTAACAGTCGCCTATGTGTTGTTCGGTTAAACGGCTACATGAGAACTCCGAAGGGTGGGGACACACATTGGCTTTTTGTCGTTTCTGCCTACGCTCCCTTCTGAAAACCTTCAGAAAGCTAACGGTTCAGACATAGCACTCATAGCAGATGACTTTAAGGCCTAGGTAAGTAGCTGAAACCACGCAGAAAGACATTTAGGTGAGTATTTTACTATTCCGGTTCAGCGAACAGATAATGGTGATCGTCTGCTGCAACTGTGCTCAGACAACCATTTATTTTTCAGTCAGTCAGTAACAACGTAGAACTTCGTACGTACGTACATCAGTTCGAGTTGCCACACCACCTTAACACAGAGATGCAGTGGTAGATTCAAATCCCGTAGTGGTAGAGGTAGCAAGAGTATAAGCAGTAATCGGGAAGATTAGGGTCTGGAGATGTTATTTAACGAGTATAATACAGTGAAATAAATTTGGAAAGAGGAAAAAAGGGACATGAAGAATTCGGAAGATTAGAATTTGGGAGAACACAAAGAGTGGATGCACCTGCGCCATTGCAAAAGATTTTGAGCCATGTCATTCAGGGTCTCCAACCATCGGTTGCTATCATCTCGCGGTCCCCAACCAGGTAGTCTACACCTACCAACATGGCTCAGTCCACTTGTCAGTGACTTCATGGACTTGTGCCATGTTTTGGTCTGACCGCCCCTAGCTTTCTTCCAACCTACTCCTATACCACTGAACATAGCACGTCGAGGCAGTCGGTCGTTAGGCATACGTAACACGTGTCCCAGCCATCTCAACCGATGAAGTTTCACTACTTCATCAATTGATTTGCCATCCTTACCTAGTACCCCTTTCCTAACAACTGCATTACTTACTCGATGGTCCCACGATATACGAGCAATATTTCGAAGACACCTATAATCGAATACTAGCAACCTACGAATATCCTCCACTCTTACCGGCCATGTTTCACTGCCATAAAGTGTGACAGAACGAACTCTGCCGTAAACCCGTCCTTTGGTTAGTAGACGGATATCTCGCCTACGCCATAAATGACGCAAGTTGGTAAAAGCTAGTCGAGCCTTCTGTATCCGTGCTGAGATTTCGTCACACACCAGACCACAAGGGCTGATGAGACTTTCAAGATAAGTGATGCGATCGACACGCTCAATTACTTCACTCCCTATCATTAGTTCGGGTGTCAATGCAACCCAATCCTGAAGCAACATTTTGCATTTCGAGGGAGACAATCGCATCCCGAACATGCTTGAATTGTTGCTTGGAGTGGTCAGAAAACTCTGCATTTTGTCAGCGTCTTCACCAAATAAAACTATGTCATCAGCATACTCTAAGTCAACAAGTGAACCTCATGGCAGAAGTTCAACCCCTGGAAATTTAGACGAGGAAAGTGTTATCTCTAAAAGTACGTCGACGACAAAGTTGAACAAGAATGGAGAGAGTGGACAGCCCTGATGAACACCACTTGAGGTAATCAATTCTGATGACAGTTCGCCATAAGCTCTCACTCTACCAGTTGTGTTCGAGTAGAGAGCCTTTATAAGGTTAATGTACTTCTTTCAGTGACAAACACTGCCATAGAACCTCACGATCAACAGAGTCGAATCCCGCCTCAAGGTCGAGAAATACTACCATTGTGGGGTGTCTGAATGTGTGTCTGTGTTCTAGAACCTGACGTAGTGTGAATATCTGGTCTACACAACCACGTCCAGGTCGAAAACCAGCCTGAGTTTCTCTAGTCGGTTCTTCACGAGCTTTGGTTAGGCGTCGAAGTATTATTGAAGCTAATATTTTAGACACTATATTAGTCAAACTGATTCCTCTGTGATTGTCACAAGAGGACGTTTTTACTTTCTTATAGACTGGCACAATCAGTGATTGAGACCAGTCAGATGGGATTACGTCCCAGTTCCCAGATTCTACCTAAGACCTCAGTTGATCTCACCGCTAATTATTCATTTAATTCAACACATAAATATTGGTACAAAAGGGCACCATACCATATTTATGTGTGTGTGGACTGTGATACTGCCCGGATGCCCAGACCGAAACAGGTGGTTTTCTTAGGGGACCACACCCCGAGCCTTTGGCCTAAAAGGTCTGACCCACAAGGCAGTGGGGCATCGTGAGGAGATGCAGTCCCATGGAAGCCGGTGACCAAAGACTAGTTCATACGCCATTTGTTCCCGCAGGATACTGGAGCCCATGTGCACCGCTAATACTGGACCACCATCCTTAAAAATCTCAAGGGTAAGCCTGTCAGGACCTGTTGCTCTCCCTCGCTTCAGATTTCCTATAGCTTTTTCAACTTCGTAAAGAGACGGAGGACCTACATTAACTTGCCATGCAGGTTGACTGGAGATCGTGGGAAACCGAAGTGTGGTTGAAGGCCAGTTGAACTGATCCCTAAAGTGTTCTGCCCATCGATCCAATCTCCTGGATTGAGAATGTATAATATGTCTATCTTTCTCTGAGAGTGTTTCGCTAACAGTCGGTTTCCTAATACCGGTTTCCTTAACAAGTCTGAACAATTGTCTGCTATTACCTATTGCCGCTGCCTTTTCCATCTCTCTTGCTTTCGCTACGCACCACTGTTCACGATCATTGCGTAGACTTCTTGTCAGCTTGCGCTTAAGCTGACTCCGCTCTTCGTTATGTTCAGATCCAGATGGGATGAGTTTCCCAGCATCTATCAATGCGGTAGATGCTGCTGAGATCCAGTGTTTTTCCCTAACCTTGTGGTTTACCGTATTAGCAGATATCATTGCTGTTTCCACAGCTTTTCGGAAATCATTCCATGCTGCCTCGGGGTGGGTATCACATACATGGCTGCCTAACTGTTTTTCTAGTTCTTCCTGAAATATACTCTTAGCTTGATTATCATTGAATATGACCCTAAGATATTTCCTTGCAGCGTCTTTCCTACGTCCAGTAAGACGCAGACAAATATGCGCTCGCACTACAGCATGATCTGAATTTAAGCCTGTGCTCCAGAATGAGCGACAGTCTTCTATGGAGCCCCTCCATCGGTGGATGATAGCGATGTGATCTATTTGGGTCCAACGTTGGGACGAATTGGGTCGCCATGTTAGATGTTTTTCCTTATGCTTAAAGTTAGTATTTGCAAGAAACAGGCGGTTATCTGAGCATAGCTACAACAGACGGTCGCCATTATCTGTTCTTTGAGCCACAACGCTATAAGATCCACCCAAGTGTCTTTTCTCGTGCTTAGTTTACCTACTTGAGCAATAGGTCACCAGCCAATATTACTACATAAGAGCGCCTAACTTTTCGGAGAAGGTTGGAAAGCTTTCTATAAAACTCATCTTTTATATCACCTGAGCTGCAGTCAGTGAGAGAATAGGTAGAGACGACGAAGAGGCAACAACGATTGTCCCTATCTTTCCGAGTCCTTATTGTTACGTTTAGTCGGACAGGGCACAAAAGACTGTCTACTGGGATCCAGTCTAAGAGAGCTAGTTCTGCCCTAGGGCTCAATGCTATACAAACAATGCTAGCAAACACCAATTCTAAGCATAAGGAGAGACATCATCTAACATGGAGATCCCCTGCACCAAACCAACGATGGATCATGTTGACATCAGTCAATGTTGGAGAGGGTCGATAGACTATTGTCAATCATTCTAGAATATAGTGAAAATTCCCATTTTGCCATTTGGTAAATAAAGAAGGAACGAACGTTCATTCTAGAATACCTGTTTGGACTCCAACCATGCTCTAATACGGGCACGCATTTGCTTGTGCCTCTCTGGACGCAGGAAAACCACACTAGAAGACCCATTAGAGTCGAACTCAGTGACGAGGAAGCCAGAAGTAGATTTCAGGAACAACTGAGGTCACACTTAGGAAGTTCTGAAAACGAGGCTGACCCAGATGTTGCTTGGAGAGATATACGAACTGTGGAAACAGTAACGACATGTGTTAGTGATTTGAATTGAGGGGTTACGATAAACCAACGGATTTCTACTAAGTCTATTGCATTGATAGATTCTCGTAAACTCATCTCATCAGGTTCTGAACACGATGAAGAGCGAAAAAAAGTCAGGTCCAGGTTAACCAAAAGTCTAGGGAACAACCGTGAGGAGTGGTGGGCAACGAAAGCCAAAGAGATGAGAAAGGCAGCGGCTGTAGGTACACAAGACAGCTTTTCAGACTAATAAAAGAATTGTGAAACAATCTCAGAAAAAAGCGACACTCATCTGCTCTCAGTCCAGATGTTTAGAACGATAGGCGGAACATTTTAAGGAGCAATTCGGTTGACATTCGGCTGCCAACCATTTCCAAACAGCCTGAGTGGAACATTGAAACAAGCCCTCCGACTTTAATTGAAACTCAAAAAAGTATTGCTGATCTGAAACGGAGAAGAGCAGTTGGTTCACATGGATTGGCTCCG